TGAAATTGGGCGGCGGTAGAATTTTTGTTTCCACCCTGACCATTTCTGAGTGCGTAGACATTACTCCCTTGTTCCTACAGCCTAAGCGCGGCAAACTCCACATGGGCAAGAACTTTGAGCACTGTCTAAGCTGACGTCGGGTTTCATGACTCGAGAAACACTAAATCGAGTTGTAAAAGTTTCGTATATAAACCCAAGTAGAATTTGTTTTTCAAGGGTATTCGGATCTGGTCTTCAGGAGCTGCTTTCGGGGGTGATTACCCTCTCGGCGGCACCCCCTGTGAAAATACTGCGTGTGAAATTACCGCGGGCTTGGTGTATCATTATATGGTACCAATTTGTATTCGGCAGATTCCCTAACTAGTAAGTGTCAGTTTCAACGTTTTCGAGCTGCCCCCACGTGTTTCGTACATGACCTGGCGAAAGTCGTAAAGAAGAACATTTGGTACAAAGTAGAGGGAAGTACAGAGTATAGTACAGAACATCTGGCCAATCTCCAGTTGGGCTGGGCATCCTTGTACACGCATCCGAGACTGCTCAAGAGGTGGGGCACGAGGGGTGCTAGGTGGAAGCAGATAAGTGAAACTTGTATTAAAAGGGGAGGTTATAAAGGTAGCGGAACCGGCATCGAGGTGGGACATTGAAAAAGAGCAGCTATCCTTCAACAGAAGTATACTGTTCAGGGGACAGGCCCCTTTCGGTACGCAGAAGGACACGGCGAAGCTGAAAGGGATGCAGATAGGGGACCTAATTGTAAAGAATGAAGACGGGTCAAGAGCGGTCAAAGAGCAATGGATGTTGGAAAGGGAGATAGGGGACAAGGCAGCTGCGGGGATGGCGTTAAAGGCTTTTGATAGAGCCTTGATGAAGTGGAGAAGTAAGGTGCTGGAGAAACTGGAAGCAGAGGAGATAGCAGAAGTGACGAAGGTGGTCAAGACGAACGGCTATCCAAAGAGCTGAACTTGGCTCTGGAAGATCCATGATTTCCGGGAGAAGGAGCTGTGGTGCGAAAGGGTGGAGGTTGATGAGCGGAACCGTCTCTACAAGGTGGACGAACCGAGGCTGTTGTTGTTGCGGTGTCGGGATTTTACGCCGATGAAGGTAGCGGAGCAAAAGGTACTGGGGGAGTTAGGTGAACCATCTGCATGACTTTTAGCGATAGCGCTTAGATATGGGGATGAGGTGGTGCATCTAAAGAAGCTGAGGATTGCACAGGGGCAGTCACCAAGTCTAATGAAAAAACAGTTAGGATGGGAAGAGTCGAGGGGTTCTAAGATAGAATGGAGAAGGCTAATTAGGATTCCTGACTCGATCGTGGTACCGCTTCGGCCGAGAGATCTTCTGCTAAGGATACATAGCAAGAACGTGCAGGTGGGAGAACGGCTCAAATTCTGGGCGCAGAAGGGAGATGTCCACACTGCGGAGCAGAGGAGACGCTGGTTCACTGCCTCTATGAGTGCGGGTGCATACAGCCGGTGGAGGGGGCAACGAAGAAAGCGCTCACTATCATCTGTCAGGGTAGGCGGATTGCTTCAATTGAGAACCTCTTGTTTTTGAAAGAAGCGACAAGGTCAGGGTTCCCGGAGGCGACGCTTACGGCGGTGGTGCTTCACAGGATTTGGTTGGACCGGTGTGACGTAGTGCTTAGATAGGAGAAGTTGCAAGTAAGGAAGATGTTATGGCAAATAAATGTGGCCTTAAACGTTTACCTAAGATGCAGAAGAGGGGCGCATGCAGCGGTTAGGAAGGATGGGCAGAAGAAGGGGACGTAAGAGCACCTTGCAAAGGAGGAGGCCCTGTTACTCGGCCGCATATGTGACAGCTCAACAAATGGGATGAGATGGAACAAGGGTTTCCAGTCCATATGGACAGGTCCCAAGACCTTCATCCAGCCACCATAGTTGGTTCGGTAGGGGTATGGCATCCGAGCCTAGGCCCTTTCGAAGCAATTACGACTGTAGGCATCTCTGTTGCAAGTAAGGAAGATGTTTATATATCTTTATACAGTACATGGGTTCCAAAAAACAAATCTGGTATAAAGTATTTCGTAGGTGCGCTTAGCTGAAATGTCATGCAACACATTTTAATAAATATCATACAATAGTATCTTTATCTTAGAGTAGGAGAATCAACTAGAAAGGAGGGTACATGGTGGTTTTGACCTAAAATATTGTACTCGATAAGGCATGCCCCTATCTAGACTACAGCAACATATACAAATATGTTTCACACACCCCCTAGACTGGACAAGGGGCAGTGCCTGGCAAGAGACAAGCAACTCAGGGTGGCACTATTACTCCAACCTTTGAGACTAGGGTCCGAAAACCAGTCAACAAGAGTACAAGCTCGACAAGAGCAAACCAGGGCGGCACTACTAGTCCGGCCAATGGAACAGCACCCACAAGGCCAGTCAAGACGGAATATATTTAAGTGGAGAACACAATAAAGGTCCTAGCAAGTGAGAAGCTACAGCGACGGAAAGAATTGTCCACATGTTTGGCAATTTTTTGAATTTCCACCGTTAAAGGGCATTTGAACATTAAGCCTTAATTGGAGGCATTACCCACTATGTGCAGGCCAATCTAGGGAGACATAATAATGGTACACATTTGATGAAACTACTATCGTTAACAGTAAACAGCAACATAACCAAACACGGTGCATGTGGACAATTATTTCCAGGCGGAAGCAGCAACTTGAAAAACCCTTAAACTAGTACCTGGTCCACCGCCCTTTAGCCCTAATCACTACTTTCACCCTCCTGGGCATGCTTTCGATCAAATTGGAGCACACCTCTGATGGGATCTTCTCCCACTCCTCTTGTACACGCTCCCACAGGTCCACCATACCAGAGGGAGGTAATTCATGCTTTCCCAGCTCCCTTTTAAGATGAGCCCACAGATGCTCAATGGGGTTCAGATCAGGACTTCCTGCCGGCCACTCCAGGACCCCATACTCCTGCTCCTGAAGCCACTGCTGCACCACACGGGACTTATGCTTGGGGTCGTTATCATGCTGAAAGATCACAGCCGAGGGCGTTAGCTTGTAAAAGTCGATGGTTTTTTTCAGCTCGTCTTGCAAAATGCTCAGATACAGCGGCCCATCCATCCGACCATCGATTTTGCACATGAAACCCGCCCCCTCAAACGTCATACATCCCCAGAGCATCAAGCCGCCGCCCCCGTGTTTGACGGTTTGCTTGATCTGGTGGTGTTGGAGAGTCGTACCTTCACGAACCCAGGCGTATGCGCGGCCGTCAGAGCCGAACCTACTAATCCTCGTCTCATCCGACCATATGACCCGTCGCCAATCATCTATGGTCCAATCCGCGTGGGCCCGTGCGAACGCCAGCCTATCGCGGATATTTTTCTTGGAGAGTCGCGGCTTCTTAGGCTGCTGAACTGCGATAAGGCCGCTGGATTTGAGCGCATTACGCACCGTCCTAGGATGCACCGTGATGCCGTGCTGGGATTCGACGATTTGGGCCGCATGCCTCAAGGTTTTCGCCTCGCCGCTAGTGATCGCCCTGACGATCCCACGACGAATTCTACTTGTCAGTACGCGTGGACGACCAGCAGTGGGCATTGTAGGACGTACGTCCTCGGGACTAGTCTCTGAAATCACCTTGAGCCCGACATCATGTACTGTACTTTTCCCAACGCCAACCTGTTTTCGCGATTTGCCTCGTGCTGAACCCCCTACGCAACAGGGCCACGATCCGGGCGCGACGAGCCTCATCTATCGGTCTCATCTTGGCGTAGTCTACGCCTCGGGTATAAACTCTATTCTGACTACTCGACAATTGCGTTAGGAACTATGGAGAGAATGCGCTTGTCGAAAACGGATCTAGTCCACTGCTTGGCCAAAACTGTCCGGATGCACTCACGCGACTGAAATCTTGTCCACGCTATTAGTGCGACCCATTCAAATTGCAATCGTGTTACCCTATTGTAACTGGCACGCGTAACTTACTAGTCAGCAATGAACATTCAACAATACATCGGGTGAAAGCATTCAAATCATGTGTTGAACCTAAAATTGGACTTTATCCGGGCAATACTTTCCGTCGCTGTACATGAACTAGACCAACCTGCAAACAGTACTGCTAATCATCTTTAGGCGCAAGCGCCTTAGTAACGTTATCACCTGTGTTGGCACCGGAGGCCACGAGTACAACGCGGGCCTCGCGGCGCTGCTGTAGCTTGCGCATGAGGAAAAACTGCAGTTGGATGTGCTTCACTCCGCCCTCCAGTCGAGGCTCCTGACACAGGAGGATCATGGCCGTGTTATCAGCGTACAGGACCGAGGCAGAGCGGGGCCGCTCACCTAAATCGGTGAGCAAGAAGGTCAGCCAGCAGAGCTCCTGTGCCACCATGGCACCGGAGTATTCCTCAGCCTCACAGCTAGACCGGGCAACAGACGAGGAGCGAGTGGACCTCCAAGAGATAGCACTTGAACCAAGGCTAAAGCAGTAGCCCTGGGAGGACCTGAGTGTCTCAGCGTCACCTGTCCACGAAGCGTCTGTGTGCCCAGTAAGGACCACTAGCCTCCATCCTCCAAGCACAAAAGCCCCATGCCCGATGTACTTGCTAGATAATGCAAAACCCTCTTAGCTACCGACCAGTGATGTGGTCGGTGTCTCCCTGTGGCCACAAAGCGCGCCAGGATGCTGAGAGGGTATGCAAGATCTAGAAAAATGCAAGTTATCAGGTACATGAGGCAACCCACCATCTCTGTGTAAGAACCACTAGGCTCTACAGAATCCTAAGGAACTGGAACAGAGAGCATGTGGTCTACTAGCAGAGGCGTGGGTTGTGCGGAGAACTGAAGACCGAACCTCAAAAGGACCTGGCGCACCAAGTGTGACTGTGTGAGAGTGATGGTGCGCGCTACTCTGTCCCTGGAGATCTGCGGGCCAAGGTAGCGGCACAGCTCTCCTAGGTCTGTGCAGGTGTGTCTCCTCAGTAGCTGAGCCTTCATGGAGGCCAGTGCATCTCCGTGTGCAGTAGCAAAGACCAGGTCACCTACGTAGACAAGGATGAAGAACGGGGTCTGGCCAGCACGAACGAAGAGCGAGTGGTCTGCAAAGGACGGAAAGAACTGCAAGTCAGCTAGCGCAATGCACAGCGTGTCGTGCCACTCATGAGGCGCGTATCGCATGCCGTAGACTGGGCGCCGGAGGAGCCACTGGGTCCTAGTAGGGAAGGTATCGGTGAAGCCCTGCGGACGGCGCAGGTAGACCTGCTCATGTAGGCTGTCGAGGGAGTGTAGCTCATAGTCACGCCGCACTGCTACGTGTATGTCACAGGATCGAATGTCTCGAGGAAAGGTTGCACTATCGATCAGTACAAGGCGCTTTTATACTTCCAAAGTACATCAGGTAACCAGGTTTATCTTATCCTAAGGGAATAGACCCTTCTAGAACATAGAATCACCCTACGTATAGCCACGTAAGGCTATTGGCTTAAAGGGATTACGGCAGGATTACGCTAGATATAGCGCGCCAGTACATCCCGAGCCTGGTCGGTGATATAATGATAGTAACAGGATAAACCAAAGGTTTATGGAAAAGGAGAAATAGGAATCCAAATGGAATGAGATAAAAACCAAATGGATTAAGATAGAAAGAGGAATGAAATGGAAAGGTGAAAGGAATGGAACGAAGTCGTACTCTCACACTTCCCCCCCTCAAAGCTGGGTGGTAGACGTAACACCCTGCTTGACAAGGTAGTCATGAAGAGGACGACGAGCGTGATCCATCTCGGATTCAGAGCCCCAGCTATCCTCTGAAGGATCATAACCCTTCCAATGGATGAGAAGCTCCACGGTGCCATTCCGTCGATGGCGGTGAGCAAGCACGGACTCGACCTCGTACTCAGGTTCATCATGGACGAGGACGGGCGGCGGCGGCGGCGGCGGTTGGCGTCCAAAGAAGACCGTGTTGGGATCTCGGTAGGGCTTCAAGAGTTGGACATGGAAGGCGTTGTGAATCTTCCAGGTAGCTGGCAGGCGTAAGCGGAAGGTAACAGGAGTGACTTGTGCTTCAACGAGAAAAGGCCCGCAGAAGCGAGGTCGCAATTTGGATGGGAGATGGCTGATGTGAAGATTGCATGTGTCGAGTAGTACTCGATCTCCCACGGTGATGGTGTGGTCTGTGCGGTGGCGATCGGCTTGGCGCTTCTGTTGTTGTTGAATGTCAAGAAGGTGCTTGTGGGTCCGATCCCAAAGTTTGTGCATGGTCGTGATGAAATCATGAGCGGGTTGGACTGTGGCTGGTATGGTTGGCTGTTGAGGTGTGAGTGGGTGGCATCCATAACAGAGGAAGAACGGAGTCTGTCCAGTCGCGGCGTGAGAAGCATTGTTGTAGGCAAACTCCAGGACGTGCATATGCAAGTCCCATTTGGAGATGTCGTCCTTGCAGACTGCGGATGGTAGGCGGATGACATCAGTTCTTTCCAGAATTTACTGGTGAACTTAGGGTCTCGGTCGGAGATGAGTGTGGTTGGAATGCCATGTTGTGAGATGATGTAGCGAACAAAGAGTTGTGCTGTCTCCTCGGTGCATGCTGTCGTGTGTGTCGGGATGAAGTGTCCCATTTTGGAGAACTTGTCAATGATGAGGAGGATCGAGTCATGTCCGCTCGTGGTAGTTGGGAGCCCAGTGATGAAGTCTAGGCTTACCACTTGCCATGGCTGTTCTGGGACAGGAAGGGGCTGTAGCAGACCCGCCTTTTTCTGCTTGCTGCTCTTCATCCGATGACATGTAGTGCACGAGGTGACAAATTTCTGTATGTTATCTGCCATGTGGGGCCAGTAGTAGTGTTTAACGATACCGGTGAGCGTCTTGTTGCTACCGAATTTTCCCGCGTACAGGACGTCGTGGTATTCTTCGACTAGTAACTGGCGCAATGGAGGGTAATTAGGTACCCAGATCTTCATTGATCCTTTCCGGTACGCGATTTTGTTGTCCCACTATAGCAGATATCGCTTTTCTGCCAAGGGAATTTCGGGGTCGATTGTATAGCCGTGTGTGAAGAGTCCCTTGAGGAATGGATTCATCCCTTCAACTTGGATAGCGGCAACGTGTGCAGGCCGGCTAAGCGCGTCTGCTTTGTTTTTGTGGCCGGGCTTGTATACGATGTCGTAGTGGAAGTGTGTTTCGAGGAAGTCAATCCACCAGACCTGCCGCCTGGAGAGGCTTGGTTGTGTCTTCAAATATTTTAGGCTGCAATGGTCGATGTAGACTGTCGTTTTGCGTCCTTCGAGATAACATCTCCACGTTTTGAAGGCGATAATGATAGCAAGGGCCTCCTTGTCGTGTATCAGGTAGTTGAGTTCTGCTCCATGTAATTTTTTGCTGAGGTAGGCAATTGGTTACAGGCCATTCCCGTGGTCTTGCATCAAGACTTCTCCCACTGCCTGGTCGCTGGAAAGATCGTGGAAATGTCGTCCTTGCAGACTGCGGTCTGCAAGGACGACATCAAGACTCCGTGGAAAGATCGGCTTCTTTCCACACTCCTTAATTTTGTCCCCAAGTTCTCTGGTACCGGTACGATCTCCACAATTTTCTGCTTCTTCTAGAGCCCCTCGAGAATTACAAGTTTTCATTAAAGCATCATTATAAGGTAACTTTAACGAATCCTTATAATTTCTTGGGTCTTCAAGGAGTTTTCCCGTCTTGGCAGAGTCCTTTTTCGCGGAGTTAGATTTTTCCTCGGCGATTTCCTCTGGCAAAGACCGGTCGTGGGGAGGAGATTTTTACCCATCATTTTCTCCTGTTCGCGTTGAATCAGCTGCGTCGAAGTTGATTTTTTCGGTATTCTGCGGCCGCTTTCGGATCTTTTCTTTTTTGCCAGCTAGATCTGCAATCACTGGCGAGTCCCGTTTTTTGGCTTCTGATTGGCCGAAGGATTTCCGCCACTTTTGCGTGTCCGATACTCAGCGCGTGCGGCTTTTATTTTGTTGCAGTCGAAGATTCGATGACCCGGCACCCCGCAAAAATCACACGTGAAGTTGGTGTTTTTCGGACGTGGCCGCCCTTCCAACCTGTCGACTTCCATCGGGTCGGCGAACGTGGTGTGAGCTGAGCGGTCGCCCTGTCGCGTACTGCCAACATGCGTCCGTCGTGTCCCGGCGTTGACCATATCGAAGCGTTCCGCGGCCGATACGACGTCACTGTAGCTCGTGTAGTTTGACGCTGCGACTTGTCGTTTGACTTCGGTCTTCAGCCCGGCGAGGTATGATTGTATTTTTTCCCCTTCGGTCAGGTCGGGAATGCGGTTATGAAATTCCCCCATCTGCTGCGTGTACTGCGCTACACTCCCGAACTGTCGATGGCGATGATTTTATTTTTTAGCAAGGAAACCCGAATTTATCGGCTCGAAACGTTTCAGCAGGTCGGTGCGGAACTACTGCCACGTGGCTTCGCTGTGGATGAAGGTGCTGTTACGGCCGATCCACTCGAGTGCCGGCCCTCGCATCAGTGTCGCCGCGAGTCGTATACGTTGACCGTCCCAGACTGGCAAGCTCCATTTGACGGCTGCGAAGTAGATCTCCATGCTGGCGATCCATCTGCGGACGTCGGAGTTTCGATCGCTCGGATCGAACAGCTCAGGTGGGCGCGGTTTCGGAGCCTCAAGAAACGGCTGCGACTGCTGCGTCGTCGCCATTGTCGTTTCGTGTTGCGCGCCGGTGAGTCGAGTTACTCGCTCGAACTCGTTTCGCCACGCTTCGCGGTCCGCTCGCATCTCCTCCTGTAGGGCTTCGATGCGCGCGAAGAGCTGCTGGGTAACTTCGGTGCTGTCGAAGTTTGCCATCCTGTTCAAAACACGTGCGGAGGGGGTAATTCGAAAAAACGCGGAGCTGGTGCTTACCAGAATCGGCGTCGAATTGGTCGCCCCCGGCGGTTTTTCGAGGCAGGATCCCTGCTGCTGCTGCTTAGCTGAGCGCGGCCGAGTAAGAAAAGCTCTGATACCAAGTGTCACAGGATCGAATGTCTCGAGGAAAGGCACTATCGATCAGTACAAGGCGCTTTTATACTTCCAAAGTACATCAGGTAACCAGGTTGATCTTATCCTACGGGAATAGACCCTTCTAGAACATAGAATCACCCTGCGTATTGCCACGCGAGGCTATTGGCTTTAAGGGATTACGACACGATTACGCTAGATATAGCGCACCAGTACATCCCGAGCCTGGTCGGTGATATAATGGTAATAACAGGATAAACCAAAGGTTTATGTAAAAGGAGAAATAGGAATCCAAATGGAATGAGATAAAACCAAATGGATCAAGATAGAAAGAGGAATGAAATGGAAAGGAGAAAGGAATGGAACGGGGTCGTACTCTCACAGTGTAGCAGTGCCGAAAGAGTAGTCATCTTCGGGGTCGGGGCGAAGGTCTGAAAGAAGTCCACACCCTTGCGCTGACTGAAGCCTCTAGCCACGTAGCGCGCCTTGAACACATGCGGCTCTCCAGAGGGTCGCTTCACCTTTAAGAGCAACCAGCCATCGACTACGTTCACCCCAGGTGGGGGAATTGCGTCGACATAGGTGCCGGTGGATCTCCAAGATGCCATCTCCTGCTCCATGGTAGCTATCCAATAAGAGGCCCAGGGTCCCGAGGTCGCCTCAGCGTAAGTACGAGGGGTCGGGATGTCAAGGGCGTTTGGGTCACCCTAAGGGACTAGCTACATGGAGCAGAGTTGGGGAGCGGCCTCAGACAAGAAAGCAAGCTTCTATTGCCTATCCTCTAGGACGTCATTGCCAAGGGCAGGAGCACCCCCGATGGACGGAGGGCAAGCAGGGTCGGAGACCAGAGTTGTGGCGTAGTCAAGGCGGCGGGTAGAGGCAAAGTCAGTGAAAGCAGCGACAAGAGCGTCAAGACTCGAGACATGAACAGACGGGTCGGTAACGAGGGAGGCAAGGACCTGAGGAACAAGAGGATCTGCGGCACGGAGGTATTCAGATAGAGGAGGTGGAGCGATAACGAGCGAGGAAGGAGGAGGCAAGGGGAGGAGGGGAGAACGAGATGTGTGGGAACAAAGCAACATGGGGTGAGAGCACTGGACAGGAGAGACAAGACAAGCATGAGAGTGACGACGAGACCAGAAGTGGGATGGAGGCGTCGGGTAGGAAGACACAAGAGGAGTAACAAGATGAGAACGAGGGGGAAATCGAGCCGGGGACGAGTCCAGCGGAGGAAACACAAGGTCGTAGACAGGCAGAGAAAGCGGCAGCGATGAAGGCATGAGCGGGTGATCGGGGGAGGGAAGGCCGAGCAGGCGAAGGGCGGACACCGGCGGTGACTGCTGCTGCGGCTCCACGCCAATACCAGAACCTCCAGCTTTATCACGGCTACCTCTGGAACCCTCCACTTCAGCATCCCCAGAATGAGAACCCTCTCTAGCCCCGGTGGCACCCCCAGCACTGCCAGGACAAGCCACGACAGGAACCCCAGGACTAGCACCCTCCTCAACGCGCGCACCCCAAGAGTCCACGGCGTTGCTGCGGTGGTGGCGGTTGCTGCTGTGGCTGTGACGACGCCTGTGGCTGCTACTGCGGTGGCGATGACGGCGGCTGCTGCGATGGCGGAGGAGACACCGGGGGAGAAATGGGCAGCCAAAGCTGCGCCGCGGGGCCACCTGAGTCAGCCAACTCCTCGACCAGGACAACCGATGGGAGGTGAGTGATATGAGACACACCAGATGGAGCAGGACAGGGAGGGAGGGGAGCAGGGAAACAGAAACAAGAGAGGCGAAACTGGGAGACTTCGGTGGGGAAAGCAGTGGTAAAAGGAGACAGACTCGTCGAAAGTGACGTCACGGGAGTGAAAGAAGCGGTGACACGGCGGGTGGTAAAATTGCCAGTCAGACGAGTCAAGGGGGAAACCAAGGAAGACACAGGGGACAGTGCGGGCCGTGAGCTTGTCCGTGCTCAAGGCATGGACGTGAGCAAGGCAGCCCCAGACGTGGAACGCGGATGCGTCACCAGGGAACCCGGTCCAAAGAAGGGTCGGCGAAACCTGCGACCGCTGGGAGTGCGGCCACAAGTTAAGCTGGTCAGCGGCGAAGCGAACGACGAACGTCCACAGAAAATGGGGTGCACTGGCAATAATTATGGAGATACGAGCCACCTCCATGACCAAACCGATGCGTCGCTCAGCGACCCCATTCTGCTACGGGGAGTCCGGCAGGGTGAACGTCTGGGTGATGCCCTCCGTACGACAGAAGCGACCAAGGCAGCCAGAGGCAAACTCGCCACCACGGTGAAGACGCAAGACAGGGAGACCTCGGTGAACAGGCGCCAATACAAGCCACGGGAGAAGAACGTTAGGCACATCGGCCTTCCACTCCAGGGGAAAGACAGTGGTGTAGCGGGTGTAGTCGTCGACAAGCACTAGGAAGTAGCGCTCGCGATGCGGCCCATGGACGGGGGGGGGGGCAGACATCCATGTGCAGGGTCACCAGCGGTGCGGAGGTAGGGGGGAACGTGGAGGAGTGAGGGGTACGGCGGAGCCGGCCCTCGACACAGGGCGTGCACGGAGGCGCGGTTGAGGCGGGGAGCGCAGGGAACGACTCAGGGAGGCCTAGGACAAGACGGTGCTGGGACATGTGACGGAGACAGGTGAGGGCGGGGTTACCTAGACGGTGGTGCCACAGAAGTGACGGGTGAGTAAGCGACCGACTCGAGCAAGCTGCAGCAACCTGGGAAGACGCAGGTACCTGGGGAGGCGTCCCAACTGGGGGGGAAGGGGTGTCCAGCGTGAATAGGCCAGACTCTGGGTCCCGGGGGAACCTGGTGAGGGGGGCACCAGTGGCGGCCTCAGTACTGACAGCGTACCGCTCGTGCCCAGGGAACGTAGTGGTGATGCCAAGGTCCTGGAGGCAGCCGACACCAACTAGGTTCCTGGAGAACGAGGGGATGTGCAGGCCTATAAGGGAGCCTGAGGGAACTGCCGGACAGGGGAGAGTAGTGGAGCTACGGGCAACTACAGGACTGGAGGAAGGGTCTGCAAGAGCAACTGCAGCAGGAGCGGGAACGGGCGTAAGCGTCGTGGAGTCTCTGAAGAAACACCGGGAAGCGCCAGAGTCCAGGGTGAAGGAGAGCGCGGCAGCGGCGACAGAGGTCGGAGGAGCAAGTGAGGACCCTAGGCTAAACAAGGCAGGGGATCCTACATGAAACGAACAGGGGAGCCTGAACTAGGCACACTGGGTATACCTACGCTAGGCAACAGAGGGTAATGGGAACCAGTCACACTAGAGTTATCAATATACAGCGCATACAAAGCAGAGCTAATCTCATCCATGTCCATATCAAAGATCTAAATACGACGACGGAGTAGACAATGCTAGTCGGGGAGGTCAGGCGACGGACCGAAGTGGAGACGAAACATGTCGTCTAGGCGACGAAAGCAACGAGCGGGGGTATGGCCGATCGTACCGCACACAAGGCCGCCGCGAGGACCGGCCTGGAGTTGATACTGGTAGCGCCCGTCACTCTGACTACCACCCGTCGATCCGCCGTGCGAGCGACCACTGGGACCACCGTCACCTCCTGTTACAGGCCACCCGGGCAGGAGACGGCCGACCCTCTACTGCTGCTGCGCCTGCTGCTGCTGCTGGTCCAGCGGCGGAGCCTGCTGCTGCTGCCCGGGGGCACCCGCCCCAGCCCCCTTGTTAGTACTACCAGCGGGCGAGCCACCTCCACCACCGGCGCCACCCCCTCCTCCGCTATTTCCGCCGCGACCCTTACCCGGACGAAACTGCACTGTGGCGGCTGTCTCCACGGTCGGAGCTGTCTCAGCAACCGCAGCAGAACCGTCGGAGTAAGAGCACCAAGCAGGAGCACAGCCCTGAAAGATAGAGACTTGCACAATACCGCTAGGCTGGGCGATAGAGCGCTGACGGGTCTCTATGGCAGACAAGGTGTCGACAAAGCCAGTGAGGGTGAGGTCATCAGGGTGGAGACTAAGGAAGCGATCGCGGGCAGTGGCAAGGCGGTCAGGGAGGCGGGTGGCAAGCAGGTAGAGGGTAGAGCAGATGGGGGGCTGAAACACACGAAGCAGAGCCTCAGTGCAGGCAGCGCTCCAGGTCGGTCTAGCGTGCGCAGGTGGGCGGCTAGGTCAGCGATAGTGGGGGAAAATACAAGGTCAGGAAAGAGCATGGGCAGGATCAGGCGACCTACAAAGGCAGAGGGCGGGGTGGAATAGTGAACAACAACAACCTCTAGGAACTTGTGCGCAGTCCTGACGGACCTAAATCGAGGGCGCTTGGAAAGGGGAAGGGCATAACTAATCGCAAGCTGTGCGACAGCGTCTCGCGACAACCAAACAGCACGGGCAAGGGCAGTAGTGGCAGCGGACTCACGGTCAGCAGACGTGGGGTCAGTAGGTAGAGCAGCAGGGGGGTTCGGGCAGGGGAGCGTACCGTCGATGTGGACAGCCAGGGAGTGGCCGTCCGACCGCTGACCAGTCAGGTGTCGCTGGAGGTCGACGAGCCACGAGTCAAACTCAATCGCCTGGCCCTCAACATCAAAACGCAGGACCGAGTCCGCCATCATGGTTGCAGCCGCAGGAGAAAGCCAGTACTGGGCAGGAGAGCGCGGCGGAAAGTGATGATGTGCGGTGCAGTGCGGGACTTTACGGTGGAGGGAGGTGCAGTACGGCAGGGTGCAGTGCAGTGCGGTGCAGGGCGGTGCCGTGCGGTGCAGTGCGGTACAGCGCGGTGCAAAGGGGCCGAGGACGGCGACTAGACGTCTAGAAGACGGGGCCGTGGGCGACAAGGCGACGGGGCCGGCAAAGAGGCGGAGCCGGCAGGGAGACAGGGTTGGCTAGGAGACGAGGTCGGCTAGGAGGCGGGGCCGGCTGTGAGGTGACGGGGCCGCGGGGCCGCGAGGCTGCGAGGCGACGAGGCAGCGAGGCCGCTAGTGGACGGGGCCGCGGTGCCGCGAGGGGACGGGGACACGGGGCCGCTAGGTGACAAGGCCGCGGGTCGCGAGATGATGGGGCCGTGGGGCCGCTCTGGGACAGGGCCGCATGACCGCTAGGTGACGGGGCCGTAGGGCCGCAAGGTGACAGGGCCGCGGGGCCGCGAGGTGACGGGGCCGCAAGGCCGCTAGGGGACGGGGCCGCGGGGCCGCCAGGGGACGGGGCCCCGGGGCCGCTAGGGGACGGGGTCGCGAGGTGACGGGGCCGCGGGGCTGCTAGGTGACGGGGGCGCGGGGCCGCTAGGAGACGGGGCCGCGGGGCCGCTAGGAGACGGGGCTGTGGGGCCGCTAGGTGACGGGGCGACGAGGCGGCTAGGACCTAGGGCGGAAGCGCTAGGGGGGGCCGGGAGGGGGGGGGGGGGGACCTACCTACTCATGATACCATGTTCAAGTGAAATAATGATATAGAACAAGGCATACAAGGGAATATAAACTAATAGGTTGTACTCCCCAAGTCACAACCTTATATAGTCTACAGAAACATACATTATATGTTTGACAAAAGCAACTAAAAAGGAGGGTACATGGTAGTTTTGACCTAAAATGTTGTACTCCATAAGGCATGCCCCTATCTAGTCTACAGGAATATATACAAATATGTTCGACACATTATGTATGACATGGATTTTTTTTGTTTATTGATATTTTCACTTTAATATAATGATAAGTAGAAAAAAATAATATGGTGGAAACCATTCAGATCTTTTCATACCAGAGTAATGTTTGGGGCGCATATAATTGAATATAATAAATAAACTAGCAATAAATTCGTTTCAAGGCATTCCTTCTATAACCGCTCTCTCGACATGCTCCTTGTTATGAATTACTCCGAAGTATAGCGCAGATTTCTATAATGGAGAGTGACTACAATGGGAAAGTATAACGGCGCTCAGCATTAGGGGCCTCGATAACATGTACAGTCCGTGGCATGATACAAACAATCAGAATTAGCGAGTTCACAATATGAGTCATTAGTCGGGTTCCACCGTTAGTCAGAAACTGCACGAAAAAAGTTTCACGAATGGTCAGTAGAAGTAACCCCCGTCCGTCTTGGAACGTTTTTACGCCCGCGCCAGCCCGATTTCGTCATTATTGTGGCTGGCGCGATACTTTTCCCGAGCTCCAGGCGCAGTTTTAACGAAAAAAACGCAAAATGCCCTGAATTAAAATTCAATAAAAATTTGTTAGCCGAGAAATACGATAATACTATTCTGTTTCAAAGGACATACTTTCGTCACGCGAAAGTAGCTCATCTCACGATGATTAAAAATGGCGGCTTTGTCTCACCGCATGTACAGCCCCAAAGAATAGTCAAGCCATAAACTTGTTTTCATTCCCGAGTCACTCGAAAACAACAAATCGCGTCAAGGTACTCTCAGAACCGCATTTAATTTTGTATTAATTTCCGTACAACAAATCTATTAGAAATCTGCTAATTGTCTTTTGATTTTTCCAGCAAATGTATTTACCAGAAACGCTTTCCGCCGAATTACGACTCTACACGTCTTGTCATGCACGGAACAAATTAGCGCATGCGCACTACATTTTAATATTCAAGCCGCATTGGCTTAGCACCGATCCCGGATATATTTGCCTTTTCGTATAAAATGTTTTCGTTTTTTGTGTGTTTGTTAATTTTTGAAAAATGTCGCACTTGATGTGCGGCCCGCTGTGGCCGGATTAGCTTATGTGATATAAATGCGCAATGTCTCAATGTTGGAATTTTGTGTGCGCGAAGTCTAACGATTTTTTATTTGGGAGTACTTTTTGTAGTTCTCTCGAACTGCGCTTGGAGCTTGAGAAAAATATTGCGCGAGCCGTAATGATGACGAAATTGGGCTGGCGCGAGCGGGAAAACGTTCATCGACGACCGGGGGTTACTTCTACTTACCATTCGTGACTACAATCACTGTCAATACAAATGAGGCATAGGGCTTACATAGTGCGTGTGACCAGGGTTGAACCTTGAGGGTTGAACCAGTCCAAGGCTCGAGAGTCCCGAGGGCGAGGGGGTCAAATTGCGTTCGGGGCGTCTCGGTAATATGTCTAGGCACGATGATATCGGCGGGGATGGTTTGACGCAAGACTTGAGGCCCGAGGCTGCAGACGCGCACTGTTCGTAATGCTCGCTGTGGCGAAACCCATTAATAATTCATGAAATCCTTACACTTACAATGAAAGAGAACAAATGAATACTAGAAACCACTAGACATTGGCTGATACATTATATTGATGGTACGCATGGAAACTACACATTATTATCGTCGCTTCTATTTATTTCGGATTCTTATATTTCCATAAAAATAAAAATGTAACAAGACTACTAAACAGCCGAAAATCCATGGTATACATAATGATATTGTTATATGAGATTCATGAAAATGTGTTGCGTAAGCCTAAGCGTACCTGCGTGTACGAAACTCCCCAGATCTTCTTCTTCATGACTTTCGCTATGGCGTGTACGAAACACGTGGGTGCAGTTCGAAAACGTTGAAACTGACGGTTTCCAGTTAGGGAACCTGTCGAATGCAAATTGGTACCATATAGGGATAATGGGCATTTATATGAGGGGTCACAAACACCATGCGTGCTATTACGTTTAGTCATTCGGCTATCACGAACAGTCACTTTTAGTGGCGATCTATCACGGTTAGTCACACGGTTATCACGAGTCACCACTCGCTCGGGGCCAAGGCCATCACGTTCGGTCACAAGATGAAACAACCGCTGAAAGCTGAAACTCCCGCCAAAAATTGCACGCGCGCTGAGCTACTGTTAAGATTCGCACAGTATTCAGTCGCGTGTGGCCTCGTCCTTTGTGCGCAACTGATTTCCAAATAGACTGTCAGCGAAACGGGAGTTACAGATGTAAGTTTGTAACTCATTCAATTCTGATGTCTTCAATTATGCAAAATGACTAAGTTCGGTAAGGTGGACTTTTTTCATGAGAAAACCTTAATTACCACGAATGTAGGCGAGGATGTTTGATATTTCCTGCAAATTCCAAATCCATTGTCATAAGATAGAAGAAATGAATATCTTGCCATGTCATTATTCTTCTAACTTCACATGGTTTGGATTGACCCTTCTGAAGGGCAGAAGGCTTGGTCAAGTCATATAGACAAGTAGGCAGAAACATTCGTTTGCTTAAAATAAGATGGTTTTCATGTAAGGTTATGATTTTATTATATGTATACACGATGTGCCTTTTTGTTTTGCGGTACTAGGTCTGTGATCCAATCATGTGTATACACGAACGGTTTTCATTATAGTCTAGGAAGGATTAGGACATAAAAATTGAATGGGTTACAAACTTACATCTGTAACTCCCGTTTTGCTGACAGTCTGGCGAAATCACTTGGAAATCAGTCGCGCACAAAGGATGAGGCCACACGCGACTGAACACAGTGCGAATCTTAACAGTAGCTCAGCGCGCGTGCAATTTTTGGCGGGAGTTTCAGCTTTTCAGTGGTTGTTTCATCTTGTGACCGAACGTGATGGCCTTGGCCCCGAGCGAGTGATGACTCCTGATAACCGTGTGGCTAATCTTGATAGATCGCCACTAAAAGTGACTGTTCGTGATAGCCGAATGACTAAACGTGATAGCACGCCTAGTGTTTGTGACCCCTCATATAAATGCCCACGGGTAATTGGTACCACACTCGGACGAAGTCGATCTGATGGTCACCGCGAAGCCACGTATGTGACTGCTGACGTCATCACCTCGGATGCTGGTTACCCGGGAGAAAAATACCCTAAGTAATACTGTACAAAACTCCAGGTTTCTTGGAAGCTCCGGGCCGGGTGACGCTCTTGCTTGTTTCCCGGCCACGTGGCAATACTGTTTCTAGAGGGCTCCACCAGTCGAGAGGCTCGAGGTCCTCGTTCGATTCAGTGTGGGCCATGGGAGGGGGCATTCCGCTCCACAATTCACCAATCAAGAATCAAATACACTACCACAGGGATCATGAAAGCACCAGCAAGAGCAGGCCAGCCCCCCCAGCTGCTCTGCTTTATCAGAGCTGGAATTCTGCGCTTCCTTGCCCGTTCCGAGTGCTTGGCTGATGCTTAGTTCTAACAGGTAGTGGTGTGAGCAAGATCACCAGGGAGCGAGGAGAATCTCCCGTGTCAGATGAGCATTCGCGCCGCAACGCAGCGCCTCGCAACCGCCAGCGGCTTATCTTGCTCTCGTCGTCTCCTATCTTCCAACGCGCGTCGAATCGCCCTGTCCCGTCACCGCCAGACGAGTCACGTACCACTAAGTGAACGAGTAGTTGGTGTCCACCAACGGCCGCGTGAAGGCCCGGTGATCCGTCTCTTTACTAAAATTCGATCCAAATCCCACACCTCCCAAATCGATTCCAGCGCATCAAACGGTCCCCCGTCGTTTGCCCCGATGGTTCTCCCCAAGCCTCTGGGTCCCTTCCACGTGTCGTACGGGGATTTTGAGCTGCGGGGAAGCCGCGATGCCGGCGAGTCGGAGTCACGCGCAGGCGGCGATCACGGTCACGTGCATCCGCCGCTGTTCCGCGTGTACTATCCTACCGACGGCAATGCCGTTGAAAGGTAGGGAGGAATTCGTGAAGCTCCGTTAGAAGGTAACTAACGCTGCGATCACCCGCCGCTGTTCCGCGTGTACTACTCTACTGGTGGCAATGCTGCAGAGAGGTAGGCTTTTAGTCGAGAGGAATTCGCGAGGCTCCATGTGAAGGCATTAACAAACGCGGCGATTACGGATTACGGGCACGTGCACCCGCCGCTTCGCCGCTAGCGTTACCCTAGTACCGATGGTAATGCCGCTGAAAGATAGGAAGAAATTCGCCGCGCGTTAGGGCAAGGCTGAGGAGGAGGGTTATGCGCTGCTAAGGGAGAATTCGCGCAGGAGAAGATAGAAACGGTTCGAGGTTTTCGTCAATATTGTATTGAGGCAATTCTTCGTTGTTCAATATGCCAGAGGTAAGGCATATCGTATTGTACACGTTGCGACTCCAGGCTGGTGTATCTCGACTTCCCGTTGTAGTCGCCACGACAGACAACGAGGGTGCGACAGCTAACTCGGCTGACCAACACTGACCGATCGACACTTGAATTGGCAGATCTGGGAGGTCAGGCCAGCTAGCCTTCGCGCTGTGCTCACGCCCGTGCTCTGAATCTCTGTGTGTACGTGTGTGTGTATGTGCACACGTCAGGAGCGAGGTGGAGCGGAGTGCGTGGCTGCCGCACGTGGCGTACCTGTATGGCTACCTCTGCGCCATTGTCCCGCCCTTCTCACTCCTCACCTCAATCCTCACCTGGCTGCTCTCCCGTAAGTCTCGTCTCGTCTCGTCTCCTCGCTGCTGATTTTTCAGGCGCCTCAAAACTCGTCTCCTCGGTGCCTTCGTGTCTGGCTGCTCCCCTTGCCTTCGTTGGCCTTTCAGCAAGCCAACTTGTATGTAGTTGTGTTACTTCCTGGTTTCCGAACGTGAGGAGTCTATTTTTGAGGCGCCTCAAAAATAGACTCCTTGCCTTCGTTGGCCTTTCAGCAAGCCAACTTGTGTGTAGTTGTGTTACTTCCTGGTTTCCGAACCCTCCAGTCCACCACCCTGAGTCGGTCCTTTGCATCTGAATTGTAAGAATCCCACGGCAGGGGGCTCACACACACCTGGGACGCATGCATCCCGTCCCAGCTATGCTAGCCTATGGCAGCCTATTATCAAGTACATTGATGATTATATCCTGTCTAAGTGTAACCCCTCGTTTCTCCCTCCCTTCTCCTCTTTCCACCCTCCCAACCCCAGGCATCACATACCTCCTTATCCGGCCCTACGCGTTGATCCGCTGCCTTCCGTCTCGTCCCCTCATCTCCCCCGCGTCCCTGCTCCGCCAACTCACTCAACAAGACGCTGACTCTACCACCCCTGCCAGCACTGACAGCACCAATGGCAACGGCAGCACCAGCACCAGCAGCCGGCCCAGCACCAGCAGCGGCATCGGCAGCGATGTGAGCGGTGATGGGCGTCTGCCTGTGGTGCTGTTCAGCCACGGGCTCTGGTCCATGCGCTCTACTTACACTCAGTTCTGCTTCGACCTCGCCTCGCACGGCTACGGTGGGTCTCCTCTGTTCCTCCCTCCTCCCGGCTGTGTGCCACGGATGTGTGCCATGGCCGTGGTAAGCGCGCCTTGCACCTTGCACTGCCCAGTTGAGTGAGTGTTCGCTTGTGCTGGTCCATGCGCTCTACTTACACGCAGTTCTGCCTCGACCTCGCCTCGCATGGCTATGGTGGGTCCTGCTCCGCTCCTTTTTCCACCCGTCTGCGTGTCATAGGTTGCTGTGGTTTTGGTATATGTGCCTTGCACCTTGTGCTGCCCGCTTGAGTGAGCACGGCTTTAATGTGCTGGTATATGCATGCCCTCCATAAGATTCCCAGTTCTGTGGGGGGCTTGGTGTTCCGCATGACAATGGAGAATAATGGTAATACATACAAAATGAGGATGAATGAATTGACTTTGTGCTCTGCTTGAAAGATGATGGTGATAGGTAGATCATAATTCAAGGGACATGTAGTTTTACAATAGCATTTAAACAAGGGTCAAGCTTAGTGACGTAATACGGCACTGAGCCTGACCCTTGTCTGAATGCTATTGCAAACCTACCTGTCCCTTATTTTATCATCTACCTATCACCATAATCCTCCATTGCCATGCGGAGCACAAAGTCAATTCGTTGGTCCTCGTTTTTTTGTAAATTACATGGTATTTGCTACGTTTTACATTGCCCAGCCGTTTGGTATGTCTGGCTGAGGTGCATGTGCCTTTTCCCCTTGCACCGCGTGGTTGAGTTTAGTTAGTGTTGGTTTTTGCGTGCGCTGGTCCATGCTCTCTGCTCACACGGCCAAGCCCAATTCTCCCTCAACCTCTTCTCGCACGGCTATGGTGGGTCCGTGCTCCTCCTCGCACGCTTGCCTCCCATGGCACTAGTAATTTTTTCGACGCCCTTACACATCCTTTCCGCTCCCCATCCCCCTTTCCCCCTTTCCCCCCGCTTCCCCCGGCCCCTCGCTTCAGTGGTGGAGGCTCCAGAGTACACAGACGGAGCAGCGTGCTTGGCATCTGAGCTCATCTACCTGTGTCATTCCACTTGTTCTCGCCCTCTCCCCCTCCCCCTTTACAGTGGTGGTGGCTCCAGAGTCCTTTTGAGTCGACTCAAAAGTCATTCCTGTCTCTCCCCCCTCCCCCCCCTTCCAGTGGTGGTGGCTCCTGAGTACACAGACGGAACAGCATGCATGGCAGCAGTGACGGAAGGGCAAGAGGAGGAGGGAGGGAAAGGAGGAGTGGGGGTGAAGTGGATCCCCCACGAGCGCATGGATGTGGAGTTCTTTGAAGTGCCCATGGACGTCAGACACAGGCAGCTGCAGCAAGTATGTGGCTTGTGCTACAGTTCTGCCATATGCTACAGGTCTGCCATATGCTACAGGTCTGCCATACGCGACAGTTATTCAATGTGCTACAGTTATGGGATTGTTAGAGAGAGGAGGAGGCGGGGTGAAGTGGATCCCCCATGAGCGCATGCTTGTGAAGCTCTTTGTTCTTTCAAGTGCCCATGGACTTGCGGCACAGGCAGCTGCAGCAGCAGGTGAGTGTGTAAGGTGTAATGATCCTCCACGTATGAAGAGCAATCACATGTCGCCCTGTGAACAGCACCAAGCCACGCGCCTCACCCTCTCTTAACCGTTCAGCATTAAGAGCAGCCAAGGAAGGCGGGAGTCTGACTGACTTACAGTAGCTTTCACCCTTCCCTCTCCCACTCCTCCCGAGTCTCTTCACTCTCACCCCACGTCTCGTCACACCCCTGTCACGCTCACCTCATGTCTCGCCGGCCACTCCTTCAGTGGTAGTGGTGGTGCCACCTCAAATAAGCCTCGCAAGCTTCTGTTGAACTTCTGCTCCCTCTCTTTGCTCTTCTCTTTGCTCTTCTCTTCGCTCTTCTCTTTGCTCTTCTCTTTGCTCTTCTCTTTGCTCTTCTCTTTGCTCTCTCTCTCTCTCTCTCTCTCTCTCTCTCTCTCTCTCTCTCTCTCTCTCTCTCTCTCTCTCTCTCTCTCTCTCTCTCTCTCTCTCTCTCTCTCTCTCCCCTCCAGCGCATGGCAGCCCTGCGGTCCACCCTCTCTCTCCTGCACCAAGTGAACAGCGGCCAGGTAGCAGACGCTGACAATGCTGTCACGGGCGCCACTCGCCTCCGCCCCTCCTCGCTCTCCCACCGCCTCGACCTCTCCCACATCGTCCTCGCCGGCCATTCCTTCGGTGGCGCCACGTCAGCGTACCTTGCTGGCGTGGCTGAGCAGCCAATCAACGGCTTCCACCTGTCGCTGTCGCCAGCAGTGCAGGGGGGGGATGGTGGGGGCAGGGATGGCGGCGATTCGCTGGTGTCACGCGTGTCATGTGTGGTGGTTCTTGACACGTGGTGGCGACCGTTGCCTGATGTAAGAGCCACACATGTGGTCTAAATTTTTGTAAGAGTAATGACTTCTCCTATGCCCTCATTCTGGATCCTCCCTCATGGTACTCCCAGCGCCCCAACCTCCCACCTTTCCCACCCCCCTGCCTTTCCGCCTGCACCCACTTAAAACACCGTACTCTGCCACACATCGCCCCACACTCACCTCCTTGCACCGTTCTGCACCCCACTTCTCCCCACATTTTGCAGGAGGCCCAGGCGTTGGCAGGGGGCAAGGCGGCGCTGCTGTGCATCGACACCGAGGGGCTGAACGCAGCACGCAACGTGGTCGCCAGAAAGCGGTTCCTGCAGGGGCGCCTGGCGTCGTGGCGAGAGAGATGGGTGCAGATTGTGAAGGAGCAGGAGAAGCAGGAGGAGGGGGAGGGGAAGGAGGGAGAGGAGGAGGAGCGGAAGGGGAGTGGGAGGACGGATGGGGAGAGTGGGAAGGCGGAGAGTGCAACCGAGTTGATTGTGCTTGTGGTGAGTGGGAGGGCTCACAGGAAGAGGTGAGGTGAATAGAGAAGTGCGTTGGTCACGTTCGGGTAAAAACCCCCTCTCTCCCTTTTTCTCTCTCAAGCGGTCTTTAGTATTGCTGAACCCTGGGTACAGGCTAGGCAAGGGGAGCAAGTTATGGAGACATGTCGCATGGGAGACATCTCCCTTTTTCTCTCTCTGTCTCTCCCTTCCTCAATTGGTCCGTTGTATTAATTAGAAGAAGAGTACAGGAAAGGCATAAGGACAACCACAAAGGTAAGTCCTAACAGCCCGGGCCGGATGACCTAAAGGGTCCCCCAGCACCGGCTCGAGTACTTGAAGAAGATCCCCCACGGGCAGCGGCTATGCCCGCATGCCCCAGGGCGCCTCCTCAGCCGCCAGGGCGTGGTTGATCTTGGTGCTCAGCGCCACCACTTGCCCCCGCTGGAGAGTGACGGACCACCGCTGCCGGTACTCATGGAAGAGCTTGGCAGCTTCGCGCGAGGTAGGTGCCGCATTGTACCGCTTCTTCGCGGCTAGCTCCGCGCATTGGCGGAGGAACCCGAAGACCCCCGGCGAGGTGAGCTCATAAGTCTCTGCCGCCAAGGCAACGAAGCCAACCCACTCGTCCCGAGCTGGAGGGTTGTACTTATTTTCCTTCCCCCGGGCCGCCACCCATGCAGCCCAGCCGGTCCCCTTGCGGGCGTGCGGGTTCTCTTTGGAGATAGGATCGGTGACAGTGACGTCACACAGCCATACCGCCCCCGTGTAGGCGTGGCGGATGGCGACGTCCGCCCACGAGTTGGCCATCCTCGAGAAGAGGTTGCGATGAAGCCGGCCTCAGTGGCTATGCGAGCGCACTCATCACGTAGACCGTGATGGGTGGCTGTTCGTCCAGGGCCCTTGGCACACCTGAGAAGGTGGTTGGGCAAGCGGGGGTCCTGGATGGGCTTGCGCTTGGGGCAGTTACCCACGTGGGGCGTCGAGAACGGGAGGCCGAGGCGGAAGGAAACCGCCGTGGAGAACTGGCCGGGGGAGAGGCGCAAGGCGGAGGCCATGGGGAGGGCGTGGAGCCAATCGCCAGCCCCAGGGCCCACCAAGGACAGGAGGCGGTGAGTGTGCCCCTGTAGTGGGTTGAGCGGCATCTGGCGAGCCTGGTCAAGCAGGAGCATAACACGCTCCGCCTGCACTTGCAGCGCCAGAGCACGCTGCAGCTTGGGCGGGTCCGGGGAGGCGCGCTCGTGCTGCAGCAGCTCAGCAGCTGAAGGGGGCAGGGCGGTCTCGAGGGAGACGATTCGGCCGGGAAACGGCGCAGCAGCAGCAGCGTCAGGGGCGAACTGCGCAAGCAGGCCAGCCACCGCCTGCGGTATTTCAGTCAGGTCGGTCAACAGATCGGCAGAAGCCGCGGCGCTGGTAAGGTAGCTCGGGCTAGCTTCCACGGCAGGGTTACTGATCCCCAGGCCCCCGAGGGTGGTGGGCAGGGAAGCTTGGTCCCAGATCCGCCTCCACTCGTGGGACCTGCACGGCAGTGGCAACCGGCAGGCCCCAAGCGTCGTGCGGAAAAGGCTCTCCCCCCAGGCGTCCCAGTCGTCGGTGGGTAGCGTGTCAGGAGGTGTCGAGCGGAGCACGTAAGCAACCTGCCGAGCGACGCATCGAGTCAAGAGCAGCAGGGCGATCTGGGGGTCCATGTCCGAAAGCAGCGACAGCGGGGCGGCAGCCACCGAGAGGCGGGCGCGGAGGGCAGTTGCGCAGGCGCGCGGCGACCCAATCGGGCTGCCGAGCACTTTGAGGCCTTTGGCACTGGGGGCGATGCCATCGGGCAACGCTGACGCCGGCAGTGGGCTTGGACTCCAGGCTTCGCATTTCGCGGGGTTATGCTGGAGCCCACCCGCAGAAATGATGGAGGTGAGGTGACGAAAGGCAGCAGAGCAGGCTGCTGGGGGACCAAGCAGAGTCACGTCATCTGCATAGGCCAGGATGACGACCTCTGGGAAGGTGGCTGCCGTAGCCGTGAGCGAAGGATAGAGGCCGGCAGCGAACAGGAGCGGGCCCGGCAGGGCCTCCTGGCGAAGACCCCCACGCTCGACAGCGGCGGTGCGCCAAACTTGCTGTCGACAAAAAGATCTGAAGCAGCGCCGTAGGAAAGGCGAACGAAAGGGATGAGGAACTCGAGCTCGGTCCCGCGGAGGCCCCTCGAAAACAGCGGCGCGCTAATGGTGTTGAAGGCGATCGCGAAGTCGATCTGCAGCGCCACGTTTCGGGTGTTGACGTCGAGGTAAGCACGGGTGACGTGGATGTTCACCTCGGCGCCGCCAGGGATCGCCATGCCAAACTGGATCGGAGCGAAGTGGATGCGGGCTGGGGCTGCAGCCAGGGAGAGCGCCGCCTTGGCGAAGACACGATGCAGAACTTCGCCGACCGCAATGGGCCGAGTGCCACCAGAGGGCTTGGAGAAAGTGAGGAGGCGGAAACCTGTGAGTAGTGACGATGCTTTGGGGCAGAGCTTCCCCGCGAGGGCGGAGCTGGTAAGCGCTAGAAGATGCCGACAGATGTCACTGTTGGACAACGCAGCGTCGCGGAGGATTTCAAAGGTGGTGGCTGAGGGGCCTGCGCCAACTCCGTTAGGCAGCTGCGAGAGGATGCGGCGAAAAGTCTTGGCGCAGATGGTTGGGTTACGCCCGAGGGTGTGTGAGAGGACCCAATCAGGTAACGTGATGGTAGCAGGCGGATGGCGTGACAGGACAGCTTGGAGAGTCTCCTTAGTGGATGGCCTGACGGGGGTGGCTTCGAGAGCCCTAACAGCCTTGCCGAGGTTACCACGTCTGGCGAGACCCTCAGCCCGAGCGATGAGGCCCGTCGGATCCGCAGCATGACGTGGAGGTGGGGGCAGATGGACGGCGGTTGCTGCCTCGGCATCGAGGTCTGCCCAGGATCCACGGCGGAAGGCCTCCAGTCGGCGCTGAACAGCTGTCCAATCAGGTTAGCGGGATGAGCCAGGGCGGAGGGTCAGCTGCTGGAGGAAGAACAGAAGCTTCCATCCAGGCACGGAATCAGGGGCATCAGCCAATTTGAGTAGGGGCGTCAGGAGTGCGGGGCAGGGGCATCAACCTCGCGAATCTCGCGGGGGTGGTTGGCGACTGTCACGAAGTGGGGCGAAAAGATCGTCCCGCGCCGCCAGTGCTGTGGGCGAAAAGGAATTCAGATCTGGTGGGGGGAAATTTTCCTCCCCAGCCTGGCCCTGGTTCGGCGCGGCTTGGCGACGGTTTGGGCGGGCATTGGATCCATCCCCACTGCCTTCTCCAGTCCAGAACTCGGAAACCCTCTCCCCTGAGAGGGTATAAGTGGATTCACCCTCATCGCCCTCCTCAGCAGCTGCAGCAGCAGCCTCTTCCCTCAGTATGTTTTTGCCATCTCTCTCCTACTCAGCCAGCTGTCTTCGAACTGCCTAAACGAAGGTTGCAGGCGCACCTCTCCCGCCGCCGCGCCTGCCGCCGCCACGACGACCACGACCCCGAGCCCCTAGGGTCGACGCGACACTCCGCCCAGTGTGCGTTCGCGCCTGCAGCTGCGGTGTCCATCATGCGACAGGGCGGGGGGATGGCATCCTCTCACTACCAGGGCCGTGGGCGGTTGCCGGAGCGTGTTCATGGGCGACGGCAGAGCCCCGACCGTGCGGAGTCAGGATGTTGAGGCTCTGAGCGATGGCACGGCCAGTCGCGCGATCACCGCCGCCGCTCCCGCACGCCGGAATGGCGGAGCCCGCCGCGCCGCGAGGAGGAGCCGGCAAATCATCCCGGTGGGTGGTTACGGGCCGTGAGGTCGCACCCGGCCCGCCAGCAGAGCCAGCGCCAGGGCTCAACGGCGCTGTCTCCTGACGTGGACGATGTAGTAGAGCGGGTCCTTGCCCGTGTTCCGGTCGTGCTGTGCGCGATTGATGCGCGGACAGCGGTACTGCCGGCGGCCCCAGTCGCAACGGCTCCTCTTGCCGCTCCAGGTGTGATTCCCACTCCCACGGTTTTCCGTGTGGCTGCCTCAGGGTCCTGACCGCCCCCGGCTGCTGTACCGTGTGGAGCCGCTGTGGGTTCCTGGTCCTGGGGGAGGCCCACCTGGTGCTTCAGGTGCCACCGGCGGCTGCAGCAGGGGGGCCCGGGGCTGTGGTGGCCCCGCCAAGCCCCCCCCCACCGATGGCGCCAGAGACGATAGCTCCCTGCTGCCTCCGACGCAGACGCCGAGGCTGCAGGAGCTGCTGCAGGCATGGGCGGCACCGCCTCCTCTGCAGGGGTTGGTGCTAGCGGTGGAGCAGGGCGCGGGGGCAGACAGAGAAGCGCAGGAAGAGGGGGAGGGATCAGATGCGTCGGCGGGCGCATGGCGTCGGAAGCGTCTACGCACGGAGGGACCGTCCACGGGAGGTGAAACGGCAGAAGCGCGCTGTCCCCCGTCGACGGAGAGACGGACGAGGGAGGCTGAGGCGCTGCGAAAGCTGAACTCCGCGCGGAGCGGCATGATGCGCCTGACGCGGATGCTCGAGGTGGCGTGCTATGCGATGGGCGGCCTCCGCCAAGAGGGTTTGCTGATGGAGCACCAGCAGGCGGAGTGCCTATCGTTGCAGACGGCGGCGAGGTCGGCGCTGGTCGCGTCGTGGCCCGGGCACGCTCCGGGAAGAGCTCTGCCACTTGGAACTGATGTGGTGGTGGCGGATCTGGGGAAGAAGATTCAGGCAAGCTGAGCATTAGGAGTGCTCGACAGCTGCATGTCTTTACTTCGAGAGGTTGACTGATTCGTCGCGCTCCTCCTCGACGATCTGAGTGTAGTGTAGGCGGCCTGTCCCCACGACGAGTGTAATGACGGCTCGTAGGGCTAAGGCCGGCCACCAGATCTAGAATCTGGTGCGCCGACATCATGCACGCCGTGTGTTTGTCGAGAAGGCGCCCATTGCAGCCACACTCGTATTGTTGCCGTTGTCAAAGATGTGCACGTTTAGTCCCCGATTGCCTACCTTGCCGTCCTCTTACGCTCGGCCGAAGGCCGCGCCGTGAGCGACGGCCGCCAAAGCCGGCCGATGCGAGCCGGCACCAAAAAAGAAGTGAATAATGAACTGGAAACTAAACAGAGAGGGGAGAGAGACAAGGGCTTAAGTAGCTAGCTAAGGGAGGCAAGGGCTCAGGTGCTCTCTTCCCTTCTCTCCCTTCCTCTCTCCCTCTCATCCTCTCCTTGTTGGACCCCTATACATCACCCTGCTGCGTCTCCCTCTCTCTCCTTCCCTTCGCTCCTCCCCCTCCCCCCCCCCCGTCTTCTCCACAGTGGCCCTCCGCCCGCCACAGGGGTTAGCCCGCCACAGGGGTTAGCCCACCACAGGGGTTAGCCCGCCACGTGGGTTAGTCCACCACAGGGGTTTGCCCGCCACAGGGGTTAGCCCGCCACAGGGGTTTGCCCGTCAGGACCCATCAGTGTCACTAGTTCCGAGACGTCTCAAAACGCTCCCCCCCCCCCCGCTTTCCCCATCCCCGTCCTCCCAATGCCCCACCGCCCACCACAGGGGTCAGCACACCAGGACCCATCAGACCTGTCGCTCGTGGCTCCTGGGATGATGAAAAAAGTCAAGTGAGTGCATCCTAGTGCCCGATTTTTGGGGCGCCTCCAAAAAGAGAAGAGCGTCAAGAGAGTGCAGCCTAGTGAACACCACCCATACAGCCTGCAAGCAATGCCCCTGCGTTCTCTCCTGAGGTGATTTTTGAGTCGAAAATGGTCCAGTGAACACCACCCATATGGCCTGCAAGCAGTGCCCCTGCTTCCTCTCCTCCCTCCGTCTGTCCCTCCGCCCTCCCTTGTTCGTCTGTCGCCTCTGGCCTATCTCCTCTATGCATGTCAAGTCTTGCCTTGTACGCACACACACAAACCTTGAATGCCATGCGTTGTGCCACTGCCACGTGCTTTGTTGTATTGTGGTGTGTTACACATACTTACTTAATCACCACACATCCAATCATCCATCCATAAACCCCTTCCGGCACTCCAAGCATTCTAAGCGTATAGTTGTAACCCCCCCCCTGCTTGTTGTCATGTCAGGATGTCGGGGGCCATCCCACCGCCCATCTTCCATCGCATCAACAGCACTACCTCTGTGCGCTTCCTGCACCAACACTTCCCCCTTGCAAAGAAATGTGCGATCTTTCTCCTCCCTAGCCCCCTTTCACCTCTGCATCCCTTCCTTCCCTCCCCTCCCCTCCCTTCCTTTCTTCACCCCTGTCTCCCCCCCCCCGCCCCCCTTCTCACTTCCTGTTCCCGCCCTTCTTTCCCCTCTCTGCATAAAAATACGTTCCATTCTTTACTGTTGCCGGCAATGCGCTCTATCCATTGTCCCACTCGTTCATTGGCTTGCTTGTGTCCCTCCCTGCAGATCGCCTGCCCGTGCCATCAGCACTCCCAGAGGACGCAGTGCACGTACAACACGTGGACGTTCCTGAGTACGTCAAGGACTGGGAGAAAATCGTTGTCAGCCCCTGAAGCACGCTATGCTACACCACAGGGTGTGCATGCATGCAGTGGTTGCAGTAAAGTCAGCACCCAATGTGCCACACGCGCTAGCCCTGTCAAGAATATCAAGCTGGAGAAAGGAAGCGGTGACTCTTGAGGTACAGGCCTTACAAGTTATATCTGTTTACTTTAGAGATTTGCACTTAGTATAGAAGTTCACAAGGGGGTGGCTAGACATAAATTCTATGGATATGTCTACTCGATCATTGTTGAGGACCTAAGAGTCCCACTTCATTGGCAATTTCTCCACATATACTCTGACCAAACCCCATAATCCAACCCGCTTCACCTCTGTAATTCGTTTGCCACAAACCATATCCAACCCGCTGCACCTCTGTAATTCATTTGCCACAAGCCATTTCAGGTGAACAGTACAGCCCAGTTTTTGTATGCACTAGCGTTCAATAACTGCTTCAGTAGCTTTCAGCGCAGCATACCGGGTGGCGTCACCGCCCACTGCCAGTATCTTCCGCCATGCATCAAAGCTAGCACGCAAGGTGTAAGCGCTGCTTGTCAGTGTTCGCTAGCGGAGAAGAAGATGACGAGGAAGTAGACGGCAAAGCCCGCCAGCAGGATGGAGCCGTACAGCAGAGCGCCCGCCGTGCGCGAGGGGAAGCGGTGCTCGATGCGGCAGCACCGCATGGCCTCGTGCGCGTGGGATAGCTCCTCCTCCACATAACTGTGTGTGGGGGGGCGGAGAGGGGGGGCAGGAGGGTGTGGGGGGGCGGGGAGGGGTGTATAGAGGCAAAAAAGAGGGAGAGTAGTGGTCAATGTGGCAGCAGCGCATGGCCTCATGCGCGTGAGATAGCTCCTCCTCCACATAGCTGTGTGTGGGGGAGCAGGGAGGGGAGGGGGGTTGGGTGGGTATACAGAGGCAAACAGGAGGGGAAGCTCGATGCGCCAGCACTGCATGGCCTTGTGCGCGTGAGATAGCTCCTCCTCCACATAGCTAGTGACTGGGTGGGGAGGGGGGAGGGAAGGGGGAGGGAAGGGGGAGGGAAGGGGGTCACATAGGGGTGAACAAGAGCAAGAAAGGTGCTCGATACGGCAGCACCTCGTGCACGTGAGATAGCTTCTCCGCCACATAGCTAATAATGGGGTGGGGAGGGGGGGAGCGGAGTGGGAGTGGAGGCATATAGTAGCGAATAAGAGGGCATTAGGTGCGGGCAGTGTGGGCCGAGAGAGGGGGAGCCAAGGAGATACATAAAATCTTCAAGCGAAGGAGAATACAGTGGGGATCCAGGTTAACGCGGTATGGCTTCAAGGGCCAAGGGCCGGGAGCAGAGTGCAGGGAGCGGAGGGCAGGGAGCTGATGGCAGGGAGCAGAGGGCAGCGAGCAGAGGCGTACTGGTGGAAGCTGTGGGTGAGGTGCGGCAAAGAGCAGGAGAGGTGGTGCGTGTAAAAAAATGAGCAGAACGCCTGAAACTATGCCAAACCATGCCAAACCATGCCAAACCATGCCCGACCGAGCTACACTACACTGAGGCGGCTCAGGGAGCGGAGGGGAGCGCAGGACTCAGGAGTGGGAGGGGGCTGAGAGAGGGAAGGGGCGTACTGGTGGAAGCCGTGGGTGAAGTGCAGCAGCGAGCGCGAGAGGTGGTGCGCGTCTGCGAGCTCGTGCTCGTACAGGTGCGAGCTCAGCTTCTGCAGGTGGTCCTCTGCCTCCTGGGGGGGTGGCACACGTGGATTGACATGGGGGCAAGGGGATATGGGGGGCAAAGGAGGGAGTACGGGTGAAATGGGGTGGAGAGGTGGTGAGTGTCCGCCAGCTCGTGCTCGTACAGGTGCGAGCTCAGCTTCTACAGGTGGTCCTCCGCCTCCTGGGAGAATCACACGTGCAAGGACAATGGAGGGCATGGGGAGATGGGTGGTGTGCGGCTGCCACATTGTGTTCTGAGCTCAAGTTTCCTCTGCCTCCTGGGGGGGGGAGGGAGGGTGGGGGGGGGGGCACGTGGATGGGAATGGGATGTGGTGGTGGCAGGGAATATGGGTGGCAGGGAATATGGGTGGCAGGGAATATGGGTGGCAGGGAATATGGGTGGCAGGGAATATGGGTGGCAGGGAATATGGGTGGCAGGGAATATGGGTGGCAGGGGGGGGGAGTAGGGTGAAGCGGGGTAGGAAGGTAGTGAGTGTGTGCCAGGACGGGGACCTGGACAAGTCAGTGTACAGTGACTCAAGCGCCGCCCTTTGAGTCGATTCCAAAGGCACAACATACCACAGCGCCCTGTACCTTGAGGCTGTGCTTGAGTCTATCCACAGCGGCGTGTGGGATGGGCAGCGACGACCAGGAAGGGCCAGAGTAGAGCGACTCTCAAAGTGACTCGTGAGATGACTCAAAGGTCACCACATAACACAACACCTGTACCTTGAGGCTGTGCATGAGTCTACCCACAACGGAGTGCAGTATGGGCAGCGACGACCGGGACAGGGAAAAGTACGGCGACTCTCAAGGTGACTTCTGAGTCGACTCAAAAGTCACAACGTAGCACAGCACAGCAGCACCCCGTACCTTGAGGCTGTGCGTGAGTCTATCCACAACAGAGTGAGGTATGGGCAGCGATGACCGCGATGGGTCAGAGTAGAGCGACTCGAGGGCCTTGAGCACCGCTTTGGCCCCGATGGTGCTGTTGTGGTGCGCGTCCGAGTGCGTCGGGTGGTGCACCTCATTGCCTAGCGCGGCGAACAGGTACGTGTTGGAGAAGTCCTCTATGGCCTGGGATGGGGGGTGACAGGGAGGGTGGCAGTGGGGAGGGGGGTGGGGAGGTAGTAGGGGGCAGGTGTGTGATTCGAAACGGGGATCACAGCTGAGCAATGTATGTGTGGGAGAGGTCCTCTATGGCCCGCGATGGCAGGCGAGAGGGAGAGAGGCGGCAGCAGGGAGGGAGGTATTGGCGAGGAGGTGACTGGTGGTTACATCCGTCGGAATAGGAGAAAGGTGTTCGGAAAACAGAGACGTGTTGGGTACCTCAAAGCCAGAATGCAGCAGTGGGCCCCCCCCTCCCCTGTTCCACACCTCCCCCCACCCCCCCCTCCTCCCTCTTCCCCTCTTTCCCTCTCCCCAACCCCCCTACCTGGATGCAGCGGTGCAGGGAGCGCAGGGTGATGTCGATGCGCGAGTAAACGGCGTTCATGCGGATGGTGTCCTGCAGCAGCGCGCTCAGCGACGACGTGTTCGACACCGGCCCGAACGGGTGATGCCCCACCGCCCACACCCAGTCGCGCCGCATGCACCGCTGCCGGTGCACCTGTTGGGGTGGGGATGTGCGTAGGCAGACAGACATATGTATACACACAGACGGACACAGACATACATGCATACAGGCATGTGTACATGCACATATGCACAACGATGCACATATGCGTAGACACGCACAGTATGTGACATTGGAGACACTAGGGAATGAGGTGAGACACAGGCAGGGGGATAAATAGAATAGAGCCAGTGGTGCCACGCGCACAGGCAGATGCTGCTAGAGAAGCACGGGGTGGTGTGGTACAATCATGGCTCGTTATGGTGTGATGCCAGGATGGCAAGTCAGGATGTGATGCATGAAGGTATGGCATGGTGCAAGCAAGCATGTGATACCACGCCATGGAGAAGCCACCACCAGCAGGTGCTGAGATAGGCAGCAGGAGGCATAGAGGGTGTGGCAGCAGCAGGGGCAGCGAGAGCAGCAGCAGGCACAGCAGCAGCGGCGGCAGCAGCAGCAGCGGCAGCACACGGTACCTTGAGGTCTTCATAAGGCGCCACGAGGCCTCCCAGCGCGGCAGCGATGCCTGCTGTGAGCGGCCGCTGCAGGTGCTGGGGGGATGAGAACACAGGCTGGCCTGCTGACACGAACCTGATGGGCGAGGAACAGACGAGTAGAGAGAAGAGGGGGAAGGGGGGGTCGACAAAATGTGAGGATAAGAGAGAGCGTGAGAGCATGGGCTGGCCGGCGGACACGAAGCCGATGAGAGAGGAATAGGTGAGGGGGGAGGAACGGAGGTGGCAGCGAGGGACGGAGAGAGAATGTGAGGAGCGAGGATGAGATGACAGCGCAGGCATATCGCACTCAACCTTGCAGTACCATACCATGTACCATGCCGTGCTGCCGTACCACACAACAGAAAAAAGAATGCCCCAAACCAGCTACCACACCACTCCCGCCACCCACCCTCTTCTGATCATGCTTCTGCCGTCTGCAGCACCAGCACTGCATCCGTCCGTCCGGTGCGGCACCTCTACACGCGCACTCGTACACAGAATCCGCAGTGCAACATGAACCACGCAATGCAACATGAACCACGCAGCCGACCAATCAACCCACCACCCACCGTGTTCTGATGGTGCTGTTCTCCGCCGTCTGCAGCACCAGCACTGCATCCGGCGCGGCGTACACCTGCTGCCCCGCGCCCTGGCCCCCCTCATCCGCCATCGTCAGCTGCCCCTCGATGCCCGCCAGCGACAGCACAAAGCTGAAGGGGAGGGGGAGGCCAGAGAGGAATGGGGGACGGGGATACGGGGGGCTTCTACTTGGCTTGGCTTCGACATCACTCTCTGGCAGCATCAAAGACAGCCCCTCGATGCCTGTCAAAGACAGCTCAAGTCTGATGGGGAAAGATGGGGGAAGGGGAAGAGAGGCATGGCGAAAGCGGAGGGGGGGGTTTTCTAGCAAGCTTTCACATCACCCGGCCATCGCCATCTCAGTCACCCCTCACTGCCCGCCAGAGACAGCACAAAGCCATCACTCAGGCACGCACACACCAACACAGCGCCACTCACACGGGCAGCACGCGCGTGCCGTGCTCCCTAGCGAGCTCAGCGTCCACTGCCCGCCGCTCCTTGCTCTTGGTGCGCTCCTTGAGCCCCACGTGCGCGTCCCACGACCGCTTCACCGGCAGAATCGTGCGCCGGGGGGGCGCCTTGGAGGAGGGCGGGGGGGACGTGCGCACCACACTGTCCTCCTCCTCGTCGCTCGCTGCTTCGTCCGCTGCATCCACTGCTGCTGACTGGAGGAGGGGTTGGGGGGTGGGTGCGTGGGTGGGTGGGTGGGGTCGGGGGAAGCAGGGGAGTGGGGGGGAGGTGGACGTGACTGTGTGTATTGTAGTGGGGGGGAGGTGGACGTGACTGTGTGTCTTGTAGTGGGGGGAGAGGTGGACGTGACTGTGTGTCTTGTAGTGGGGGGGAGGTGGACGTGACTGTGTGTCTTGTAGTGGGGGGGGGGTGGACGTGACTGTGTGTCTTGTAGTGGGGGGGGAGGTGGGGGGCAGCAGGAAAGGACAAGCTTGGGGGTGGGGTGGGGGGTGGTTGGTCAAGGATTGCAGTAGGAACAAGCTGGGGGATGGCATACGATCTGGGGGATGGCATACGATCTGGGGGATGGCATACGATCTGGGGGATGGCATACGAGCTGGGGGATGTGCAAGCAATGGGGTCAAGCAAGGGGCACGCACCAGATCAAGCAAGTGGCACGCACCAGATCAAGCAAGTGGCACGCACCAGATCAAGCAAGCGGCACGCACCGGATCAAGCAAGTGGCACGCACCAGATCAAGCAAGTGGCACGCACCAGATCAAGCAAGTGGCACGCACCGGATCTTCGAGGAAGAGCGAGGCGGAGAGAGCCGGGTGTGCAGCCTCTAGAAGAGCGGATGCAAGCATGTCGGCAGACTCGTGGAATTGCTGCAAGGGGCAGGGAAGGGAGGGTTGGGAAGAGGATGGGTTGGGCAGACTCACTCCTCTGTTCATGCCCGTTCACACCCCCTTCTTCCCACCCATCCCCCCATCCCCCCAAACAACCAGCCCTATCCACCCCTCAACCACCCCTTACATCACAGGCATGCGAGCAGCAGGGGGGAGGGGGGGTGTGTGGGGGGGACCGAGGGAGAGGCACCACCGTTTGAGAAAAAGGGACTCACGTGCAGCAAGTATGGCGCGTTTAGGAAGCTCCTGGTGCCGTGTTGGGTGGTCCCATCGGCGTGGGTGAGCAGCATGGACTGGTGGCGGATGGCCTTGTCCACCGCCATGGCCAGCCGCTCGTGGTCGTGCAGCGAGTGCCACCCGCTCGCTCACTCACGCCCCCTTTCCCTTCACTCCCCACCCATCCGCCCCAATGACCAGCCCTCTCCCACCCTTCATCCACCCCTCAGATCACAGGCATGCTCGCAGCATTGGGGAGGGGTGGGGGGGGGGGCACTGGGAAGAGAGACCGGCGAAACTCACGTGCAGCAAGTATGGCGCATCCAGGAAGCTCCTGGTGCCATGCGAGGTGGAGCCATCGGCGTGGGTGAGCACCACGGACTGGTGGCGGATGGCCTTCTCCACCGCCATGGCCAGCCGCTCGTGGTCATGCAGCGAGTGCCACCCGCTCACCAGCACCACCTCCTGCCCCGGCGCCAGCATGCCCGTGATCTGTTGGGGGTGGGTGAGGTGGAAAAGGAGGGGGAGGAGGGGAAAGAGAGTGCAGGGATCCGTTCACCAGTCACTCGTGGTCGTGCAGCAAGTGCCACCCACTCACCAGCACCACCTCCTGCCCTGGCGCCAGCATGCCCGTGATCTAAAAGGGGGTGGGAAGAGTTGGTTGGAAAGGGGAAAGGTGTTGGGTGTGTAGAGTGAGGGAAGGGAGTGCTTAAGCCGCTCGTGGCCATGCAGCGAGTACCACCCATTAACCAGCACCACCTTATGGCCCGGGGCCAGCATCCCTGTGACCTGAGAGAGTGGGGGAGGGAGGTAAGGTGGTGGGTGGGGAGGGGGGGGAGGAGGGGGGAAAGAGAGTGCAGGGACCCGTCATCCGTTCGCCTCCTGCTCTTCGACGACCACCTGTTCACCAGCACCACCTCCTAGCATGGAGCTAACATGCCTGTGATATGCTTAGTGAGTGTGGGGGAGGGGGGGGAGAGGGGAGGGGAGAGGGGAGGGGGGAGGGTTAGTTGGAAAGGGAGGAGGTGTTGGGTGTGTGGAGGGACGTGGGGTGCCAGGCGCTAGTGATCGTGCAGTGAGTGCTACCAGTTCACCAGCCCCTCACCTCCTTCTGCAGGGCCAGCATGCCTGTTATCTGGCAGGGGCGGGGCCGGGGAGCGAGCATGCGTGGTGGAGAAAAGAACACTTGGTGCCACATAACTCACCCCTGTTTCTGCCTCCACCCACCTGGTGCAGGTGCAGGTGCTGCAGGTGGAGGCTGACCGAGAGTGGGGGACTTCTGAGCCGAGCCGACACACGAGTGGCATAAGGCTTGCCTGCCTGTGCTGCTGAGACACACTGCTTGTCATAAACCTCAAGCATACCTGCTCTGCTTGTGCGTGCACCTCTTTACTCACAACTGTGCTGCAGGTTCCCACCTGCGCTGTGTGCGCTCCACACCTGCTGCCATAGCGGCTTGCACATCGGCCTCCAGCCGTCGGTGCAGCCTGGTGAAGTAGAGACTACTGAGTCGATTCAATGACTCAACAACCACACCTGTTGACTCCACACCTGTTGACTCCACACCTGTTGACTCAACACCTGTTGACTCCACACCTGTTGACTCCACACCTGTTGACTCCACACCTGTTGACTCCACACCTGTTGACTCCACACCTGTTGACTCCACACCTGTTGACTCCACACCTGTTGACTCCACACCTGTTGACTCCACACCTGTTGACTCCACACCTGTTGACTCCACACCTGTTGACTCCACACCTGTTGACTCCACACCTGTTGACTCCACACCTGTTGACTCCACACCTGTTGACTCCACACCTGTTGACTCCAACACCTGTTGACTCCACACCTGTTGACTCCACACCTGTTGACTCCACACCTGTTGACTCCACACCTGTTGACTCCACACCTGTTGACTCCACACCTGTTGACTCCACACCTGTTGACTCCACACCTGTTGACTCCACACCTGTTGACTCCACACCTGTTGACTCCACACCTGTTGACTCCACACCTGTTGACTCCACACCTGTTGACTCCACACCTGTTGACTCCACACCTGTTGACTCCACACCTGTTGACTCCACACCTGTTGACTCCACACCTGTTGACTCCACACCTGTTGACTCCACACCTGTTGAATCCACACCTGTTGACTCCACACCTGTTGACTCCACACCTGTTGACTCCACACCTGTTGACTCCACACCTGTTGACTCCACACCTGTTGACTCCACACCTGTTGACTCCACACCTGTTGACTCCACACCTGTTGACTCCACACCTGTTGACTCCACACCTGTTGACTCCCCACCTGTTGACTCCACACCTGATGCCATTGCGGGTCGCACCTGGGCCTCCAGGTGGTGCAGGTTGACAGAGTGGGCATGGCCCGGTGCGAGAGGGTTGAAGAGGCGGTGGTTCGACAGCACTATCACGGCCACCAGCACGCGGTGGCTCACATCCACATTCAAAAAGCTGGAGCGAGAGAGAGAGAGAGAGAGCGAAAGGGGGATTGGGGGGGGGAGAGGAAGGTTGGGGTAAAGAGAGAGAGCGGTATGATTCTGACTATCACGGCCACCAGCACACGGTGGCTCACGTCCACGTTCAGGAAGCTGGAGCGAGAGAAAGGGGTTGGGTGGGGGGGAGGAGGGGTTGTGGGTAAGAGGGAGTAGTGCGATTCTGAACGACACTATCACAGCCACCAGCACATGGTGGCTCACGTCCACGTTCAGGAAGCTGGAGCGGAGGCGGGAGGGAGGGGGGCGCGGGGGGGGGGGGGGGGGGGCAGGGGGGAAGGTTGACGGGAAGAGGCGGTGGTTGGAGAGCACTATCATCATCATCACGGCCACCAGCACACGGTGGCTCACGCCCACATTCAGGAAGCTGGAGGCGGGAGACAGTGGGGGGGAGGGTGGGGCAAAGTTGACAGGAAGGAAGGAGGGCGGTGTGACCAGGGGAAGAGGCGGTGGTTGGAGAGCACTATCATCATCACGGCCACCAGCACATGGTGGCTCACGTCCATATTCAGGAAGCTGGCGAAAGGGACAGGGGGTTGGGGGGGGGGTTGGACAGGGAGAAACTGGTGGCAAAGGCACCAGCACTCCGTGACTCATGTTCACATTCAGGAAGCTGGCGAAAGAGAGGGCGAGAAGGAAGGAAGTGTGGGAGGGAAGGAAGTGTGGGAGGGAAGGAAGTGTGGGAGGGAAGGAAGTGCGGGAGGGAAGGGTGAGGGGGTGGAATGGGGGGTGGCGGGTGGGGGTGGGGGTGGGGGTGGTGCGGGGTGTGGTGGGGTGGGGTGGGATGGGGGTTGACGGGAGAAATTTGGGCATCAAGCCACGAGCACACGGTGACTCAGATCCACGCTGAGGACGCAAGCAAGGAAGAAAATTGTTGGGAACCGGCGGAGAGGGAAAGAGGGGCGTGGGGTAGGGTTGATAAGGGAGGTGAAGTTGGCGAAGATTCAGCACACACATCCACGTTAAATAAGCCTAAGGGCAGCGTGGAGAGACACACGCGACTGCGACTAACCGGACGTTAGGTGAGAAGAGGTGCTCCACAGCCGACGACGACACCACGCCGGCCAGCAAAATGGCCTTCGAATGGCAGTTTCAGTTGACTCTAAGGTCACCATAGGATAGTTAAGAAGGAACATAGGAGGGCTGCTACTGCTACCCACCGGACGTCAGGTGAGAAGAGGTGCTCCACAGCCGACGACACCACGTCGGCCAGCGCGCCCGAGAAGTAGTCTTTGCTCTGAGGCCGCGCAGGCAGGTGGGCAGTCGCAGCAGCTGACGAGGAGGAGGAGGAGAGTGTGGGCTCGTCTGTCAGGAACATGGAGCGCACTCGCGGGATGGTGCCGGGGACCACTGCACCCTCTGCCTCGTCCAGGTGGCCGAATGTGATTGGCCCGGCGGAGAGGTCTATCACCACGTATCTGTGGTGAGGGGAGAGTTGGGAAAGTAGGGAGAGGGCGGGGGAGAGGAAGAGAGGAAAGGGTTGGGAGCGGGGAGAGGTGGGAGGTGGGAAGGCGGGTTAAGTGCAGGGAGTCTATTTTTGAGTCGACTCAAAAATAGACTCATTACAGGCGGGTTAAGTGCAGGGCGTAGGAAGGGAGGGGAGGCGGGGGAAGGTGGGTGAGGACAAAGTTAGGAGAGCACAGCCGCACAGGGTTAGCCGGTGCAATGAGGATGATGAACAGAAAAGGATGAAGCCAGGAGAAAGAAGTTCATCATGGAAGTGAGTGAGGATGCGATCGATGCATTAGATGTAACCTCGAGGCTCGAGATCCTCAGAGGCCCGTCGGAGAGAGAGCTTGGTTCTTTCAAAACCTAATCCCTTGAAGCTCACCTGCCATGCGACAGCCATGTCTGTGCGTGGCCGGCACCGTTGTACGAGTAAGCGTACGAGTACCCGCCCTCCTGCGCCTCTAGCTGCTCCTCGCTCAGAGCAGAGGTGAGAGGGCCTGAGGGCGCGGGGCGCGAGGGGTCCATGCGTGTCTGAGGAGAGACACAGAGATACAGGGGGGGAAAGAGAGAAAAGGGAGCACGTGGGCAGGTGTGTGTGGGTAGAGGGAGGGTGGGGAGGGATACACGGAGGGAGCTGCTTTTGAGTCGACTCAAAAGCAGGGTGGGGAGGGACACACAGAGGGAGCTGCTTTTGAGTCGACTCAAAAGTAGGGTGGGGAGGGACACACAGAGGGAGGGGCGAGGACGAGAGTGGGTGGAGGGGAAGGGCGGAGGGAAGGGGGAAACATCACATCACATCACATCACATCGCACTGCACCACAGCACATCACATCTAACCACATCACAAACACACCATCAACCTACCAACCTTATCCAGGTTAAGCAGGAAGATAGCGATCGCCTTGTGCGGCTGCCCCTCATGCTCCCCTGCACCTTCCCCCCCCTCCCCTCTCTCCCCCTCCGCGCCTCGCTCAAAAAGCTCAGTGTAAATGAGGTCGAGTGCGGGCTCGATGCTCGTTGCTTCCACTGTGTACTGCTGGGGTTATCAGGAGATGGGGAGGGAAGGACGAGAGGGGGGAGGTGGGGACGGGGGGAGGTGACTTGTGAGCGAGTCAACTCAGACGTCACCTCAAAGGGCTCTGTGTAAATGAGGTTGAATGCGGGCCGGGCTCTATGCTCGTTGCTCGTTGCCTCCACAAGTACCGCAGGGGTTATGAGGAAGATGGTGCGGGAGGGAGATAGAGGAAGAAGCAGGCGGAGGGGGCGAAGAGGAGGCGGAGGGGGGTGAGGGGTGGAGAAAGGCAAGGGAGGTGTGGAAGTGGATCCGAACATCGGCCGTCTCAAAAGCGGTGTTTCACATACGAAATGAGAACCATATAGCTTCAGAGTTGCACAGAAATTCGAGCCGCGAGACATCCGGAAAACGGATTGTCCTTGCAGGACAGCAAAAAAGCTCCTAGGCTGTCGCCGAACACACCTGCGCTTTTCTCTGTGCATCAGCTGTCAACGTACAGTGAGCTTGCCATGGGTGTGTGCTACCACGCCAACCCAAGAACCAGCGCTTACAAGTAACACCCCTGGAACGCATACCGTGGTGTTGCTGCCAGCAGCAGCAAGGCCGGGCACGGCCCTCAGGTTGGAGCGGAGGGCTTTCTCTAGTGAGACAACGTTCTCCTCTGATGCCTGTGGTATTTGGCAGGGAGGAGGGAGGGGGGGAGGTTGCATGGGATGGCTGGCTGTCACGCCGAAGCAAACGCCCTCGCTCCACTGCTACAAGGTTCCCATCCAAGGCCTCAGCTCAGCTCCCACTCTTCCCTTCCGTCTTCCCCTCTTCTCTCTTTCCCCTAACTCCCACTCTGCTGTCTCCATCCCCTCCTCCATCTCTCTCTGCCGCCCTAGCCTCCTCTGCGACTCACCTTCACATGGGGGAAACAGTAGATATGACATGAGCAATCATGGTGGAGTTGCAGCACGGCTCGTAGGCCCCGCTCGTGTTTTGCGTGAGCCGAGCCCCCCCGCCTGATGTTTCGGCTCGGGTCGGACCGGGCCCAGCTTGTCGGCTCGACGGGCTCGACGCAAGCTCCGTCGCGGCTTGTCAACAACCAGCGAGACTCACTCTCGGGTCACGTTGGTCCCTTGTTTTGAGGCGCCTCAAAAATAGACTCCTCACGTTGGTCCGTTGTTTCAACAGATTTCAATGGCAAATCTGAGCAAATTCAAATACGCCAAGGATTTTTGCACATTCCTAGCACTCCTCCGCTGAAAAAGGCCTCCCAAACCAACCCTCACTCCATTTTACCTGCCCCTTCGCCCTTCCCCCACTTCCCACCCGCTCGCCCCCCCTCCCTCTCCCCCCTTCCCCCAACCCCACCTTGACAACGTTATAGCTGAGCTCGTGCTGCACGAGCATCTCCCGTTTGGTCTCCCAGCACGCGGGGCGGTGGTAGCTGAAGCCGTGGTGCACCAGGTACTGCACCTGCTCCGCCTCCAGGTCCACGCGGTACGCGCCATCGCCGTCGAGCCCCACCAGCACCACGCTCACCTCCATGGGCACCGACAGGGGCGACTGGGGGGAGGGGGGAGGGGGAGGGGGAGGGTGGGGAGCAGGTAAAAGGGGGGTGCCGGGGGGGAAGGGGAGGGGGGCGCAGATAAAGGTAGGCGGGGAACACGAGGTAGGGAGGAACGGGGTTGGGGGTGAGGGCGCGGAGGTGCTGCATCTCTCTATAGGTGCCAACAGTACCCCCGTCCCCGTCCAGCCCCACCAGCACCACGCTCACCTGGGCACCGACAGGGACGACTGCGGGGGGGGGGGAGGGGGGGAGATGGACAGTGGGAAGGGAGAGAATTGGAAGGAAAGGATGACAGTGGGGGAGAAAATGGTGGGGAAGCGGGGGAGGGGTCAGGGGGGTGCGGGTGAGGAGGAGGAGGGGGGGGGCAAGGAGGGGGCGGAGAAGTGGTGACTGAGAACCACAGAGGCGCACGCCAGCAGCACCATACTCGTGCGCCCGAGACCACTCCTTGCTCAACCCCTCTTACCTCCCCCCTTCCCTCCCTCCCTCCCCCCCCCAACCCCCCGCCTTCCCCGCCCTCACTCTCACATCGGTGTGGTACACGATCAGGTAGTCGATGGATCGCGCCACCACCAGAACACCTCTCTAATTATCACCCGCCCCAAATCACTCCTCCCACAGTGCACTTCGCACTTTCCCCTCCCCCCCCAACTCCTCCCCTCTCCCACCTCTCCCCTCCCCTCCACCCCCACCTCGCCCCACCCCCTGCCCCTTGTTTCTCCACAGGCCTCCCCCCTCCTCCCCCCCCCCCTCTTCCCCTCCCAATTCCCTCCCTCCCTCCCCCCCTGTCTTTGCGAGGCTCACGTCCGTGTTGTAGAAGAGCAGGTTGTCGATGGAGCGCGCCACCACCTTACGCACCTCCTCGAACGGCCCGTGGTGCCACGGCGACAGCATGCCGCGCGGCCGCTTGAACGCGCGCGCAGCGGACTCCGCGCGCGCGCACTGCGGCGCGTGGCTCTGGGCCAAAACGAGGAGCGCTATAGCGAGGATGAGCAGCGGACGGATGGAGGACCAGGCGGGACGAGTAGGTGAAGGGGAGGGTAGTAGGAGACGAGGAGAGAGGGGGGAGGGAGAGGGAGACGGAGAGGGAGAAGAGAGAGGGGAGTGATGGGAGGGAGGGCCGCCAGGGGTTGATGAATGGCAGTGATCGCGCGACGGATTTGCGGGGATCTGTTGACGGAAACAGTTCCCGGCTAACGATTCTCGTCCGGCGACGCATCCCCGCTCGGGTATCGACGACCGGACGCCCGTCAAGCGATGGTCTCTAGAAACTTGGAATGTTCGCTGCTGGAGAGGTGAAAATGAGGCGGCGGAACCGCCATGGCCATCCATTGAATCAAGTTTAGTTAAGTACTAGGTAAAGAACTAAGCGCGGCAAGTAGATGGTGTGATCAGGCTCGGCAATCAGGGGGACCGATGAATCGCTAGCGAGTCGATTCACGAACAACGACGATTAGCGAAAAAAAAATATCAGGAAAAACCGGCCGGTTGCAATGGCTGCTCGATGCGCGATCTGCGAGATACTGTCTACTAATTGACACTAGAGACCAACGCGGACTGCTGCTCGGATGAAAAACGGTCAGATCAGGCAATGATGGGGGGAGCGGATGAAGCAGACAAGCCTCATGGCTGGACGCATACTCGAATCCTACCAGCTATCAGCAGGCATCCAAAGGCTTGCACTAATTTGTAACTCCACACGATCTAGACCAGACGGGAAAGCTGACGGCTTGGGCAGGAAACCAGACCAGTGCGGTAGTGGCAGGTAAAGTCTAGCCTGTGCGACATTTCGCCAACCAGTTACCGTTACAGCTTATCCTTAACAAAAAACATTGAAAAGCCACGGTTTCACACCAGCACTATAAACGCCAGTAGGGGAATATCCAAAGGATTATGCTGCTGTAAGAAAATAACATTTTATTATTCCGGGTTTCATATCGTAAAGGGTGGACAGATGAGTGCACGGGAGGGAGAAGCTGGAATCAACACCGTGGACATTGGTAGGGAAAGGGAAGGAAGTGAGGGTGACGGCGTCCTTGAAGGCGGTCTCAGTGGCACCACTATCGAGGATGAAGTCCAAACTGGGGGGGGGAGTGGAGGGGGAGGTCGTGTGGAAGAAAATTTATGTGTATGAAAAGTAGCGGAAATAGGGGTATGGGACCTGGTCTGGGAGACAGGGTGGCAGCGGAGGAAGCGGAGGGGAGGGAGCCCCAGGGAGAGGAGCCATGTGGGACGGTGGAGGCATTGGTGACCATAGCTGCAAGGCCGTAACCATAATGCCACTACTACCGTGTGGTTGCGGCTGTGGCCGCGCCGGCTCTTGCTACCGCTGCCGGACCGATATTGCCCTATGACGGCTGTGCCTATTGGTGATGTTGCTGCAGCCGGAGCAGCTGCGGCTGCTGCTAGAGCTACTGATGTTGCTGCAGGAGCTGCTGGAAGTTGAGCATGCAGGAGGAGATAGGAGGACCAAGAGGAGGCTGTAGGGAAGCCATGCGGCGGAGACAGGAGTGGCGACCGGAAGGAGCAACATCGGATGAACCCGTAGCAGCAAACAAGAGTGGCGACAGTGGCGGGAAAACCCGCGGCGGTAAAGGAGCACGGCGTCGATGGGTGGACCCGCGACGGCTCGAAGAGGAGCCATGGCAGATAGACCCGCCGCGACTTGAGAGTGGCGGCGACGGATGCACCCGCAAACCCACGGAGGTGGAACGACGACATTTGGATCGGAGGCGGCTACTAAGGGGAAGGTAGTATTGGCAGGTGAGCGACTGGCGAGACGCAAACAGGGAGCAGTCAAAGGCGGATGGCTGGTGGCACAGAGGTGCTGGCAGCGAGCAACGAACGAGCAGATGCTGGGATGCAGCAGCTAGGAGAGCTAGCGATGACTGAACGACAGGCAACGGCTTGGAGGCTAATGACAGTGAAGCCACGGGTGGCGGCTAGGAGACTAGCGGGGGCAAAGAGAAGCCGGTGCGGCTATAGCTACTGCTGCGGCGGCTCTTCCGGCTGCCTCGGTGACTACGGATGCTATTGCTGCTGCTGTGGCTCTTTTGGATGATGCTGTCGCGGCGGCTCCTCTGGTTGCGACAACATGCTGGCAAATACGCGAAGGCGGGTGGCGAGCTGGCGAGCAGGCGGTAGTGAGCTGGAGGAGGAGAGGTGGTGGGTAGCGGCGACAGAGCGACGGGTAGCGGCTAGGAGGCTAGCGGCACAATAGCCTTGCATGCTATAACCTACCAGATACCAAATGGATCGATTCATTATATCGGGAGATTATCAGTAGCTGGCAGCGGCAAAGGGGATGTACTATGTAAAGAGTAGGACTGATTGTATCAGGGTATCAGATTACTGTTTATGAAACGAGTAACTACTGCTAAAAGTACACGGCATTTTAGTTTAAAGGCATTTCAACTGGAATGATATAGTTGCGGTGGCATTACCATTGGCACGACATACCGAACAACATTTAGTGACATGTGGCATCGTGCCAGATTTGTCAAACTAAGAAGGTTTCCCACCAGCGTGTCAAACATATATTTACATGTTATTATAGGCTAGTTAGGTGCGTACTCTTAGAGAGTACAACCCCTTAGCACAAAACCACCGTATATCATATATTCTAGTTACTTCGCTACTTTGATATGGTATCACGCTAGGTTAGGTCCTCCCCGACCACCTGCGCTTCCGCCCTAGCCCTAGACCTAGCCGCCCGTCGCTAGCCGCTCGTAGCTAGCCGACCGTAGCTAGCCGCCCATTGCTAGCCACCCGTAGTCGACCGTTGCCGCCCGTCGCCTCGCGCACGCTGGCCCCACGATCGCCAGCCCCGCACCCGCTGGCCCTGAGCTCGCCAGCCCAGCGCCCGCCTGCCCTGCGCCCGCTGGCCCCGCATTCGCTAGCCCCGCGCTCCCTGGCCCCGTGCCCGCCGGCCCCGCGCTCGCCAGCCCCGTCCCGGTAGCCCCGCGCCCGCCAACCCCACCCCCGTCGGCCCCGCGCTCGCCAGTCCCGCGCCCGCTAGCCCCGCGACTGCTGGCCCCGTGACTGCTGGCCCCGCACCCGCCCGCCTATGCCTGCTGGCCCAGATCTCGCCAGCCTTGTGCCCGCTGGCCCCGCATTCGCCAGCCCCGCGCCCGTCGGCCCCGTGCGCCCGTTGGCCTCTCACCTGCTGGCACCGCACCCGCTCGTCCCACGCCCGCTGGCCCTGCTTTCGCCAGCCCCGCGCCCGCTGGCCCTGCGTTCGCCAGCCATCTGCCGCCGGCCCCGTGCTCGCTAACCTCGCACCTGCTGGCCCCTGCGCTCGTCAGCTCCGCGCCCGTCGGCCCCTGCACCTGCTGGCCCCGCACCTTCCAGCCCCGCGCCTGCTGGCTTGGCACCCCCCAGCCCTGCGCCCGCTGGCCCTGCGCCTACCTGCCCCGTTGCCTCGGCCTTGCGCTTCCGCCGGCCTCAGCTCCGTCGGTCCCAGCCCACCCCGGCCCTCCCTACCGCCGAGCCGAGCTGACCCGCCGGCCTTCGCTCCCCCTCTAAGCTGGCGTTCCCGCCGGTAACCTCCACTGCACTCCACCGCTCTCTACCACACTCCACCGCACTCGACACACTCCATCACACTCCACCGCACTCCACTGCACTCCATCGCACTCCAATGCACTCCACTGCTTTCCACTTCTCTCCACCTCTCTCCACCACCCTCCTCTGCCTTCCGTCCTCCCCTTGTTAGCTGCAGGCAGCTGCTGCAGCCATAGTGATGGCAGACTCTCTGCTTCGCCTGGACGCGGAGGGTCGGGCCGTTGAGTTTGAGGCGTGGCTCGTCGACCTCCGCCGCCAGCTGACCGGGCAGCGCCAGAACGGCCACTCCCTGGCCATCCATATCGACAGTAAGCTCCCTTGCCCCGCCCCGCCTGCTGCCCTCCCTGACGCCCCCACGTCTGCTGAGCGTGAAGCTTTTGTCGCTGCTGAGCTTGTCTGCGCTGTCTGGGATTCGCGCGATGACATTGCTCAGCTTGCCATTAATCGCGCCCTCCCTTTATCTGAGCGTCCCCGCTTTACCGCTATAGCAAACGCCAAGGAATACTTAGATGCCGCCATCTCGCGCTATTCCACCCCCGCCTCAGCCTCTGCCGGCCGCCTAATCCTCCCCATGCTGTTCCCTGACCTTGCGTCCTTCCCCACTCCTGCTGACCTTGCCACTCACCTCAGCGCTCTGGAGACTAGCTACCGCGCCGCTAGCACTGAGGCACAGCTCAATGCCTTCCCGTCGCCGCTTTGCGCTACCCTTCACCTCATTCTTACGCGCCTGACTGACCAACTAGCCACTGCCCACGATCACTTCCTTAGTCAGCATCCAGGTGACCTCACCCTTACTGCCTTTGTCACCGCCCTGTCCGCGATAGAGACTTGCCAGCGCACTATCGCTCAGTCTAGCGGTACTGCGCCGGTCCCTATCTTCCAGGGTTGTGCTCCCTCCCAGTGCACTTACTCTGACGTTTTTGCTGCTGTTGCTGAGAAAACCCCTGCTGCTGAGACTGCCGTCGCGGCCTCAGCGCAACAGAATCAGGGTAGGGGTCGCCGCCCCAAGGGGGGGCATGGGAGGAAGAAGAAGAAGAAGAAGAAGAAGAAGAAGAAGAAGAAGAAGAAGAAGAAGAAGAAGAAGAAGAAGAAGAAGAAGAAGAAGAAGAAGAAGAAGAAGAAGAAGAAGAAGAAGAAGAAGAAGAAGAAGAAGAAGAAAGAAGAAGAAGAAGAAGAAGAAAGAAGAAGAAGAAGAAGAAGAAGAAGAAGAAGAAGAAGAAGAAGAAGAAGAAGAAGAAGAAGAAGAAGAAGAAGAAGAAGAAGAAGAAGAAGAAGAAGAAGAAGAAGAAGAAGAAGAAAGAAGAAGAAGAAAGAAGAAGAAGAAGAAGAAGAAGAAGAAGAAGAAGAAGAAGAAGAAGAAGAAGAAGAAGAAGAAGAAGAAGAAGAAAGAAGAAGAAGAAGAAGAAGAAGAAGAAGAAGAAGAAGAAGAAGAAGAAGAAGAAGAAGAAGAAGAAGAAGAAGAAGAAGAAGAAGAAGAAGAAGAAGAAGAAGAAGAAGAAGAAGAAGAAGAAGAAGAAGAAGAAGAAGAAGAAGAAGAAGAAGAAGAAGAAGAAGAAGAAGAAGAAGAAGACGTAGAAAACACTACTACTGAAGAAACCGTGCAACTGTTCATCATCACGATCGTGTGATTACACGGAGTTCAAAACAGCCGCCATTTTAGATGGTAAGGAGAAATTCACCAGCATCTTCTCGCGCAATCTATAGGAACAATTCGATACACGCATGTAAACCTCATCCGCACATCATCTTGAGACTGACGGTCAAATTGAATGGACCAATCAGAAAGTTGAGCATCTGATTCGCGCCACATGCGGCGACACAATTGATTGGGAGATGTAGCTGTCATTAATTGAGTTCACCTACAACAATGCCCCAGTTTACAACTACAGGGCACTCACCATTTTATCTGAACCATGTACAGAATCCTACTGCGCCCATCATACCAAATTCCAACACCCGCAAGCTGGACACCACTCCTTCGACACCAATAATATGCAACCATCTGCTAACACGAGATTAAAGCCTGAGTCTAGAATGGTAAAATACCAATTTCCTAACCATGAAAACAATGAAAAAAATGTTAGCGAAGAAAATTTAGGGAAAGCACCACTGGCAAAAAACAGTTCCCAAACAATTACGAACAGTACTGTGGTGGTCTCTAATTGCGAGTCTCCCAAGAAAATGCATTCAGAATGGTTGCGGGTGTTTTCATGTTCAGTATGAGTGAACAGTTCGTTCGTGGTTTGTCTTTTCTATCGGCTTTCGCAAGCAACCCCATTTCCCCGAGGGTTGCGACGTGGCGGTCCCCTGAACTAGGTTACCTGTACTGTACGAAAACAAGTTCAGGAATCCTGAACTTGATAGCTTGCCATTCTAGACTCGGATTTTAAGTGACTAAGCTCTACAGACAGCACAATCGACGGTCCTCGCTGTCTCGAAGATACGTACCACCATGCTATTCAACAGCCTCGATTTCTACGCATGGAGTTTCGAGGCCGAACTAGTCCTTAAGAGCACTAAGATTTTCTGCTATTCAGACGACTCTTACCCAAGATCACGATCCTCACCAAAGAAGCTGAATTCCAGCACTACAACGAATGCTAATGGCTTACATCATTCTTTTTTGCAATTTTTTATTCAAGGGATCCACTCATTCAAGATGCAGGCTGCTACGGTATGTGAATCCTGGCTCTACCTAACCAACTTGTACCAACCAAAGGACTTCGTGTCATCGAGCTGACTACTCGATCAACTAATTCAAGTGAAAATGCCCCTACAGAGAAGGTCATCGCTTGCATCAACCACTGCCGAAGCATTCGTGATCAGATCATGAAGCAGGGAAATAAGATCGTCGAATATATTTTCGTGACGATCGTCCTTGCAACACTACGAGGCACTTCTACGTCAACTGGCGGCAGTCTCAGAGGCGGCACTACTGGTAGAGCAGCAGGATATGGACATCCACAAGGAGAAGCCCCCCCACAAGGATATGATCTCCTTTTACAATAGCCAAAAGGAGCCCCAACACGGCCAACACAGTCGTCAATACTTCTACAAGCACTGCAAATTTTTCGGTCACCTTACCGAAAACTGTGGAAATCGACCCAGCAGCAGCAAAAGCTACAGACCTCCCATTGGCCAAACTTCCTTCTAGTGGAGCACTATGGTACCTACCAGAGGAGGTCCATGGATGCTCCCAACAAGACCTGCGCCAGGCCGGTCACCCTTCCCAAGCGTACCAGTGATATGTCCCTCGCTCAGCTGGACCACCAGACATCCGCCCAACAAGGCCTGCCGAGACGAGTGTAGTTCGCCAGGCCTTCATGGCAATGCGCACCCCTGCACTCACACGATGAGTCAATCTTTGCCAACCCACTCCCCCGTCACCGCACGACGACAAGGAAATCAACGAAGTAGTCCCCGAAGAATTCAGCAACCCGTACACCTCCAGTGACGACTATATCTTCGACGAACGTGACCAATTATGGCTCGTGCCCGTCCCCCTAAGTCAAGCCAACACTACCGTCGCACCAGAGTGGGGAGAGGAATTCACTCACAACCACTTCTTGCACCAGAATAATCGCCCATTTCTCCTCTTTCCAAACCTGGCGCTTCTCGCGCGAAACACCGACAAGATCTATAACGTTTTTTCTTACCTGGTGGGTTACATCTCCAACACCATTGCTATTCTCACGACCTCAAAAATTACCATTGCCAACAACCATAGACTCAAGGCTGAAGCCCAAGAGATGGTCTCACAAGCTCGGAACAGCTTAATACTGTACACATTACACTAATTGATATAGTGTACTCATCGTCCACGTCCCATCTCACTGACAATGGTGTCGAAATGCGGACCAATCCCATGACACAAGACATCGAGGTGCACTACAGAAAACCCATTAAGAATAAGGGAGAAATACCAACCCCTGAGGTACATTGGATGTGCACGGGCCATGAATGGCGTCTATGTACTGGATTTCGACATCTCGGATAGCAGTTGAGACAGTGACGAGCTCATTGATCTCGTGCCTCTCTCCTTCGCCCACAAGCTAGAGCACAAATGGTCTCACCTTGACGGACGTCCCTGGGTGACACACCGCATGCACACTTCACAGACTGACTTGCATACCTCAAGTTGCAATGGACTACGCACCATCTGCAACAACCCAACAACATCCACTAGTACTGGACTAGATGCTGTGGAGGATGTCAGATCCCCATCATGACCGTTCCGGAGTTGGCTGCTGTGGTTACCATCATCCCTCACCCCGAGAACATGCCTCGAGTTATCTTTAGAACACGTATTGACTAAAACTTGAAAGTCGTGGGCCCTGGCTGCTTCGACGACACTAGATGCACAAACCCATAGAATCGTGCCACACAGATGGCATTTTATCCCAACTAGCACAAAGCATCCAAAGCATAAGCAGTAGCAAATGCAAGAGTGAAAGCGGTGGAAGCAACAAAATGGGCAAACACCAAGGCAACAGAAGAAGCTCAGTAGGACCAGGCACGAAGGCAGCCAGAAGAAGTAGCAGAGGCAGTTGCGGCAGCAGAAATAAGGGCTAGACAAGCAAAAAGGGCAGCAGCAGCATCGGCAGAAGCAGAAGTAGCAAAGTAGCAGCAGCAGAGGGAACAGCAGCAATAAAAGCAGCATCTGTAGAACTAGCCCCAGAGCCCATGGTTGAGATAGGCATACCCTAGTTTGTCACTCAACTTGGGGTGCATTCTCACCTATTAGAGGCAACTAGTATGGCGGAAACATCGACGGCTAGAACGAGGTCAATGAAGAACCACAACCAGCCGCCTAGGGTCTGCCTGCTCCACCCACTGCCCCTGCCGAAATAAACCCCAGCATCGGCTGGTCCAGACTCAATCCGCGCGCCTTACACAAGGTTAATGTCAATGAAGAATACTGGTGAAAATCAGTAGTTCCTCTTGGTCGTCCTCCCTCCCAAAGGGGATGACAACGAAGAGGAACAAAGGGGAAACCAGGTAAAGGCACTGCACTAATCTTTGCGAAATCACAAAGCGCGCCAAGACCTGCTACCATTAGGAATGAAGGGGCGTTTTATGACAAAGAAATGACTTGTGCATTCCTGAAAGTAACATCCGCGATGGTCACACCATCGTGCGTGTTATAATTCCTATTGGGTACATGCTTGTGTCGAGTTGTGGAAAGTAACAGTCGTTGACCGTTGACCGACAACTCAACAATCAGAAGTTCAAGAGTCAAGATGATTGACACGTCAGTAAGGGCATATGACTGACCCAGTATTACAATGTGGGCAGTTACTCAATTTGTGTATAGTTACCGAGTCGAATCTCTGATCTAAAGGAATGTACCCCTGTGAAGTGAGCGACTGTACCCCAAGCGACTATATAGCGATACAGTCACTACGCATATCAAACAATCGCTGCTGCCCAAAACAAAGTCGGCAATTTTAACAAATACTTGGTGTACAACGAGAACGTATTCCTGATTGGATGGTTCTTCATCAACAGAACCAAAGAGCAATTTATCCTTATGCCCAATGCGCATGTATGCAACATGAAAAATACTAGCCAATCAAGAACAATCATACCCACAATTACAGGAACAATCGCGAATGGTCGAACCTAATCCATTAGGTGGACGAAATCAGAAAAGCGTCACTCTAAAACGTCTGAACCCAAAAGAAAAACCGTTAACATCGGAGGTAATTATCGTGGTAGCAAGTGCCTCTATTCCTGCTCATCGAAGTCCATCTTAGTTTCTTGCCATAATACTTGCTTAGTACAACCGTTCTCGGTTACAGTGCCTCGTGGGACAACCTAAGTTGAAAAACCCCATGTTCAGTATTTTGTACATTCGACATTACACCCCATGCTCCAACTTGCCTTCGCTCATCCCCTGACCAATAGGCCCACCTCGAAGTGCTCGTCATAAATATAATTTCTAGCTCTAAATGTTCAACCATTCGAATTATTTGACAATAGCTGATTGGCTACTGCCATAACCAGGCCAAATATGAATGATGAATTCTCTATTTTTTTTTTCGTCACTTGAACATCCTATCAGCATCTTTTATGGGGTAGTGCAATACTTAGTAACACTGCGACTTAGTAACAATGCGACCTCGTAATATTTGCACGAAAGCAAACTCCGAACTGTAGAAAGGAAAGTAAAAGTTTGTGGCTAAGATTATGTTTTTTAGGTCAGCCCATCCCCAACTTTGCCCATCCGCCTCATTTTTGGGCTAATTGGTGGGCAAACTTGGTGGGCAAATTTGGTAAGACCCCAACTTTGCCCATACGGCCTCAAACCCCTATGTAATTGTTTGTGCGAGCCTCAGACTATACTTTGCGACCCCTAGTGACGAAATGGGAACAGGGTTCAGGACTGCACGACGCCATCCGTGACGTAGAGGGAAACATTGCAAATGTCCAAACCTGACGACCAGCTCTGCAAAACCGATAGCTCTGCCCAATGTAAAACAAGGCTCGACGTAAGTCGTCGGATGGGTTGTGTATGTATCCACATTTTTCTTGCATATATTGAAATGCATTTTTTTTCCTGGAACCATTTTATTATGAATGTACAATACTTCAATTTGATTTGGAAAATGGATGTATGATAAAATTGGCAACATTAAAAACTTTTGAAACGCTTCAATGTTCTAATATATATGTAATATTTTTGATTGCTCTTTAGACGTTGTAATGCTGTTGACCTACAAATGAATGGCTTTCAGAGACAGATTGAACACACCCCTGCTAGGGTTTGTTGGTGAGTCTTCCACCAGTGCCTCGTTCTTGCTCGCCCCTCTCGTACAATAGCTTGTTCTTCCTCTTCCCTCGTGCCTTGTTCTTGCTCATATAGATTAGTCTCATACCTAGTCCTAGCAAGCACTTATCCTAGTTCTTGCTCCTAATTAAGCTTAACAGTTACCTAAGCCATGTCAGTTCGCGGTGGCTCCTTGCGCACTGGCACATTTCGCTCTGGTGCCGTGCGCACTGGCGCGTTTCGCATTGGCGCCGTGCGCGCTGGCACGTTTCGCGCTGGCGCCTTGCACGTTGGCGCCGTACGCGTTGGCGCGTTTCGCGCTGGCGCCGTGCGCGCTGGTGCCTTGCACGCTAATGCGTTTCGCGCTGACGCCGTGCGCGCTGGTGCCTTGCGCACTGGCGCCTTGCGTGCTAGTGCCTTGCGCTCTTGTGCGTTTCGCGCTGGCACCGTACGCGCTGCGCATTTCACATTGACGCCATGTCTCTGCGGCCGTCTGCGCACGTGGCGCTGTGCGAGTCGTCGTGGCATGGAGGGAAAAGGGGGAGGAGGAAGTGGGAGGATGAAGAAGGAAGGGTACGTGTGATGAAACTGCAGGTGAGCGAGCATTCCACCGACTCCAGGTGAGAGTCGCTACAGCTAGACGCGCCTCTCCCCTCTATCACTTTCCCCTGGCTTGTCCACTTGCTAGTTTCGTACTTGCTCCTAGCAGAGTTGATGTTAGTTCACTTTATGCTTAAACGCCCCTTGCTCTCACACTTGTTGTGATGCACTTGTTGATGGCGCACTAAATGGTAGTTCATTACCGTGTTTTTTGCTAGCGCATTTGCCGTTTAAAGTGCACCTGCTGCTAGTGCACTTAGAGCAAGCTTACTAGTCTCGAGCTCAATTGCTATGCGTTGACGCTGTGCTCTCTACGTTCTTCCACCGTCAGTTCTTTCACCCTCCATCTTCCATCGTTCGTTCTTCCCCACGCTGTTTTCCCCCTTCTGTCTTCCCCCCTCTGTTTTCCCCCCTTTGTCGTCCCCCCTCCGTCCCTCCCCCTTTGTCATCCATGTCGTCCCCCCTCCGTTCCTCCCCCTTTGTCGTCCCCCCTCTGTTCCTCCCCCTTTGCCGTCCCCCCTCCGTTCCTCCCACTTTGTTGTTCCCCCTCTATTCCTCCCCCTTTGTCGTCCCCCCTCTGTTCCTCCCCCTTTGTCGTCCCCCCTCCGTTCCCCCCCCTTTGTCGTCCCCCATCCGTCCCTCCCCCCTTGCCGCCCCCCCTCCGTTCCCCCACCCCTTTGTCGTCCCCCATCCGTCCCTCCCCCTTTGTCGTCCCCCCTCTGTTCCTCCCCCTTTGTCGTTCCCCCTCTGTTCCCCCCCTTTTTTCCTCCCCCTTCCGTTCCTCGCTCTTCGCCGTCCCCCCTCCGTTCCTCCCCCTTTGTCGTCCCCCACTCTGTTCTTCCCTCTTTTGTCGTCCCCCCTCCGTTCCCCCCCCTTTGTCGTCCCCCATCCGTCCCTCCCCCTTTGTCGTCCCCCTTCTGTTCCTCCCCCTTTGTCGTCGCCCTCCGTTCCCACCCCTTTGTCGTCCCCCCTCCATTCCTCCCAATTTGTCGTCCCCCCTCCATCCCTCCCCTTTTGTCGTCCCCCCTCTGTTCTTCCCCCTTTGTCGTCTCCCCTCCGTTCCCCCCCCTTCGTCGTCCCCCATCCGTCCCTCCCCCTTTGTCGTCCCCCCTCCGTTCCTCCGCCTTTGCCGTCCACCCTCCATTCACTCTGTCCCTTTGTCGTCCCCCCCTTCGTTCCTCAAACTTTGCCGCCCCCCCTCCCTTCTTCCTCCCTTTGTCTTTCCACATCCATTCTTCCTTTTATTGATTCCCTCGTTCCCGTTTTCCCTCCTCAGTTTTTCCTACCTCTGTCTTCCCCCCTCCATTCCCCCCAGAGTCCTTTCATCCTCAATTCTCCCGCCCTCTGCTCCCTCCCTCTGCCGTTCCCTTTCCATTCTTCCTCACCAAAACCCCCCCCCCCTCCTTTACCCCTTGCGTACGTCTTACCTCATCCCCCCTCTGCTTTATTGCCTTTTGCAATCTATATTCTTACAAGCCCAAGTGCAGCCCATTCTCAGGTATACATTACTCTCCCTCTCACTATTTTTGTTCTTCCTCCCTCCATTTTTGCCCTGTCTGTTTGTCTCTGTTCTTCCCCTCCGTTCTTCCCCTCCATTCTTTCCCCCTCCTGTCTTCTCGCCTCCATTCCCCCTTCAGCTATTTTTAATCGTTCTTCCTCTACGTTCTTCCACCCTCTGTTTGCCCCTCTCCATTCTTACCCCGCCTATTCATTCCTCCCTCCGTGTGACCTTCTCCCTCCCTCTGCCGCTCTCAGTTTCTCCTTATTCTCCTTTCTACTTTTGCTTTTTACCCTACACTTGTTTCGACCCTGCGTTTGCTTCCCAGTTCAGTGGTTTCTTCTCTCTTGCACTGCTGCTCCCTTCTCCTTGTCCACCTTTCTTACGTTCGTCTCCGCTAATCCGTTTTTCCCCTTCGCATCCATTCCCTTTCTCCCCACCTAATCGCTTTAGTTTCTCTCTCGTTGCTAGTGTCTCAAGCTCCTCCCTCTTATTTTCTACCCTGTTATCCTCTTTAGTAATGTCATCACGTTCAAGGTTGTCACATTCCAAGAACATTCCAAGTCGTCGAAGTTCAAGTCATCACGTTCTAAGTCTTCTCACTCCAAATCTGGTCAATCCTGTTGGCAGCATTGATTAATAGATATTTGAAGTTGACTTTTGGTCATATTTTCGTGCTTCGTGTTTGACTTGCGTGCATTTGCATTGTTCTTTTGTGTCCTGATTTTTTTATGTCGTGTTGCTTGTGTATGTGCATATGCATGGTACCATTGGTTGACAAAGTGCATATCAGTTTGCTGGCTTGTGTTGCACGGTGTTGCGTTGCGTTGTGCTTGCAGGGGAAGGATGCTGACTATGCCTGGTGGTGCATCACACAATTTGCGAGTGTCGTTGCCAGTTTGGGGAATTGCTTCTCATTCCGTGCATGTCAATCTCTATTGTAGCACGAAAGCATTGATGCATTTCTTTCGTTGTAATCACCATTGCACTGTTATTTATTTGTTGGCATGTGTTGTATATTGTTGCGTATTGTGCGTTCATGTAGGAAAACGATGCTGACTATGCCTAGTGCAACATACAATTTGCGATTGTCATTGCCGGTTTGGGAATTTATTCCCATAACGTGCATGTCAATCTCTATTGTGGCACGAACACATTGATGCATTCGTTTTACTGCATTCACGATCGTTCTGTTGTCGAGTCGAGCCGTTGTATGCGTGTGTGTTGGTAAGTGGCGCTCTATCTACATGCTTTGAATACGGTGGTGATGTTGTGGTTCCTATCATTCTCCGCCGTAATTATTGATGGTGAATGATTCGAGCCTCTCTTATCATTCAGAGAAAGCTTAGAACATCGTTATAAATTTCTATGTTGCTCACTTATTATATCGTCGTCGTCATTATCGACCATATAATAATTGGGAAACACATATTTTTTTTTAATGCGAGATAGAAAGGGAAAGTATACCGGCGCTCAGTATTAGGGGCCTCGATAACATATACGGTCAGTGAAACGATATAAACAATCAGAATTAGCGAGTTTGTAACATATTTAATTAGTCGGGTTCCATCGTTAGTCAGAAACTGCAGGAAAAAAGTTCCACGAATGGTGAGTAGAAGTAACCCCCGGCCGTCGAGGAACGTTTTCCCGCTCGCGCCAGCCCAATTTCGTCATCATTGCGGCTGGCGCGATATTTTTCCCAAGCTCCAGGCGCAGTTCGAGCGAACTACGCAAAGTATTCCAAAAAAAAAAATCGTTAGACTTCGCACACACAAAATTCCAAAATTGAGACCTTGAGCATTTATATCACATAAACAAATTGGGCCACAGCGGGCCGCACATTGGGTGCAATATTTTTGAAACATTAACAAACGCAAAAAAAAACATTTGATATGAAATGGCAAATCTATCAGGGATTAGTGCTAAGCCAATGGGGATTGAATATTAAACAGTATTGCGCGTGCGCTAATTTGTTTCAAGCATGACAAGCCTTGTAGAGTCGTCATTCGACAGATTTTTTTTCCGGTAAATACATTTGTTGGAAAATTCAAAAGAGAACCGCCAGACTTCTAATAGATTTGTTGTATTGAAATTAATACAAAATTAAACGCGGTTCTGAGAGTACATTGACGCGCTTTTAAACATTTTTATTTCGCAAAAATAAACCTCCGTAGCTATTTATATATTTTATTGTTTTCGAGCGACTCCGGAATGACATGAAGTTTATGGTTTGACTTTTATTTGGGCCTATAAATGCGGTAGAGACAAATCCGCCATTTTTAATCATCGCGGGATGCGCTACCCTCTGTGACGAAAGTATGTGCTTCGAGACAAAATTCGTTTTTTTTTTCGCTTTTCTCGACTGACAAATTTCAAATGAATTTTCATTTGGGCATTTTGTGTTCTTTTCGCTCGAACGGCGCCTGGAGCTCGGGAAAAATATCGCGCCAGCCGCAATGATGACGAAATTGGGCTGGCGCGAGCGGGAAAACGTTCCTCGACGGCTGGGGGTTACTTCTACTGACAATTCGTGGAACTTTTTTCCCGCAGTTCGTGACTATCGATGGAACCCGACTGATTAAAAATGCTACAAACTCACTAATTCTGATTGTTTATATCGTGTCTCTGACCGTACATGTTATCGAGGCCCCTAATACTGAGCGCCGGTCTACTTTCCCAGATAGAAAGGTATTTTGAGACGCTAATTTTCTAAGATACAGTAAAAATAATCAACAAACAAACAGATATGTAGAGATTCCCTATGGGAGGAGAACGTAAATATTCAGATTATAGATAACCAAATTAACACTGAAACCAGTGTTGTTAGAGTGAGCAACACATGAGGGCATATTCCTACAGAGTGGTGTTCAGTACCAGCATTGGAAAACGGGTTTCTGAATACCGTGATTCACAAAATTGACCGCGTCCAGTACCTGGAACACCAACCTGCATGTTCGCGCACGTGCGGTATGATTGGCTGACCGAGACAGTCTTATTCGCCAACAGAACCCCCCTCGTCGTATACATGCCGCGTGTCACTCCGTTTCGTCGTGACGACAAGCCATCGCGCCACACATAAGCGAACAGAGACGTGCCCACGTTGCAAATTTGGCGGATGAGTTGTAAATTTGGCTTTCTGGGCAGCGTTGTGCACTTTTCGTTCTTCCTAGCGACATCGCGGGTAGCCACTGTTCGTTTCGCACGTTTGGTCGCCGAGTCCACGCTTGCGACCATTTTAATGGTACTGAACACCGTCCTGTAAATCGGCAATTACAGTACGGTGTTCAAGAACGGAATTTCCTATGCTGGTGCTGAACACCATAGCGTATGAATACGCCCTTAGATCTGGAAAAAAAAAAATGTAGTGCGGGGTATTAGGCCGACTAAACAAAGTCGTCTGAAATCGGTCCACCGACCGATTATAAAAGGTTGCTACAACCCAAGAAGAAGAAACACGCGACAGTTCCATGCTGGTTTTGACAAAATTGGAATTTGCCATTTTTTATCCCAGCAGGAGTTTATGGGCACTACACGCACGATGCCGTGTCTCCAAGAATCGACAAGCTAGGAACGTGGGCCGCATGCCTGAGAAAATCCGTTCGTCGCCCTGTTTGCATATGGTTATGTACCCCTGTCGCAGGGTTTGAGTCCATTTGGATTTGTATGGGAAAACTTCGAAGCGCATGGGCAAACTTAGCAGAACGGGCTAACTCCAGAACGCAGCCTAATATCCTGCTTGCCTGGTGTTTGAGGTTTCCTGGTTGCTGTCTCAAGACGCATGCAAAAACGTTCTGACTGTTCCGCAGAACAGGTGGATGAGTCGAACCGATACCTGCAGCGGGGTAAGGGGTAAAACACCCAACAGGATCTTCCCCTCTTCCCACCCTCCCCTCCTCCCAATCCAACATGAAATGGGGGGAGGTAGGACTCCTCTGGTTGCTTTTGGAACGTCTTGTATTAGGTGGTTGTACAGCGCCTCGTCGTTGCGTGAACTCCCCACTTTGTTTCCCTCCACGTGGGACCAAACACTCGTCACTCCAGAATACACCCTTCTTCTGGGGCTCGGGAAGCACCCCTGGCGGTCGGTTCCCCGGGCGGTCACGTACAATCACATTAAAAAAAACAACAAAAACAGCCAGCCTGACATACACGCTTGATTCTAGCGAGGTTTAGGGTGTACAGTCGTATTACTGTTTCCGTGGGTGCCCCGCTGGCCCAGATTCACGGATTTCCAAACACCGCTGTTCCATTCCGAGCGGACGAATCCACATACCTGGAAGACTCTTCAAGAGTCATGCAGGCCCTGCGGAAGGTTGGAGCGCGAGCCCCCCAGGAGATACTCAGAGAAAACATCAGGCATTTATTACTACTGTACGACTGGCGGTGCGGTGCCCCCCTTCCATGCCTCTGACACGCTCTGCGCTGACACGCTCTGCGCTGGCACGAATGTGGGGCACAATCTTCATCATCCCCCCACCCACCCCATCATGGACGCCGCCGGGCAAGCAGAGCCACCCTGTCAAAGGCGGCGCGTGCGCCGCATGAGCCACTGTACATTGCGGAATGGGCGGATCCCGTCTGTCCTGAGGAGTCCTCAGGAGAGAGGCTCTCTCCTCCCAGCCCCTCAGTGCTCTCCACTCCTGTGCATGCTTTTGAGTTATCCTGTGACAGCTGCGGTCATACCCTAGGTGACGACTACTACTACTACTACTACTACTACTACTACTACTACTACTACTACTACTACTACTACTACTACTACTACTACTACTACTACTACTACTACTACTACTACTACTACTACTACTACTACTACTACTACTACTACTACTACTACTACTACTACTACTACTACTACTACTACTACTACTACTACTACTACTACTATTACTACTACTACTATTACTAGTACTACTACTACTTCTACTACTACTACTACTACTACTACTTCTATTACTACTTCTACTAGTACTACTACTAGTACTACTACTACTACTACTACTACTACTACTACTACTATTACTACTACTACTACTACTACTACTACTACTACTACTACTACTACTACTACTACTACTACTACTACTACTACTACTACTACTACTACTACTACTACTACTACTACTACTACTACTACTACTACTACTACTACTACTACTACTACTACTACTAAGAAATACAGGTACTTTGCACTGGCGCTACCAGCGCCTCCGAGCCTCACGCCCACAGTAGTGACGTGTTGAAGGTTGACTCGTCCCTCGTCCCTCATCCCTCGTCTCTCGCCCCTCGCTCCTCGTCCGCCGCCTTCCATTATCCATCAAGCATCTTCGCGGCTACCACTACTACTGGATTGAGGCTCCTCATCAGTGCCGAGTTGAAAGAGGAGCAGCGCTGGCCTCAGCCCGTTGGAGGGGCAGCATGCGGCACTCCATCGCCTGCCCGACCCCAGGTCGGGCGGCTCCAGCGGCAACGATGGCGCGTGAGCGGGTACAGCATGCGCTGGCACTCGCATGGTGCCTCGCGCTTGCCGTAACTTCACCCCTCGCCATCGTCAACGCCGAGTGGCTCGAAGGCTCGCAACGTGAGAGCGCTGGTTGGAACAATTTGTAATGTTGTGTTTAAGTATGTGCGCTCACCCCACCCCCCTACCCCCTCTTCCACTATAACGCCTCGCTACCCACTGGGTCAAAACGAGGTTACCCAGAGGCGCAGCGGAATGCGTTTACATTCTCTAGGGTATTTCCGTCCGCAGACGTTACATCCACACTCCCACCTCCGCCGCCCCTCAAACCCCCCCTTCCCCAATTTCCCCCCCCCCCTTCCCTCTCCCCATCTCCCGAACGGTCCTTTGTTGCTGGTGATCCTGGGTACAGGCTAGGCATGTGAGATGGATACAAACAGGTACATCAGCTCTGGTGATTCTCCCATACTATCCCCTTCTGGCGAGTCTCCCCATCTCCCTTTCTCCGTCTCCACCAACCCACAGACGAATTCCTGCTGGACTGCCAGAAGGCATGGAACTCGACCATCGACCCGTGGATGAACAACCTTGAATGCACCCTTGACTACCCCCTCAAATGCGACGGCAACGGCATGATTGTGTCCTTGTGAGATATGATCTGTGTGCTCGTGCATGTGGAATCATGTTTCCACAATGCAATGCAGTTTTCGCATAGCACGATGAATGAGGGTATTCAGGAGTGGCACTAGTATCAGTGTGCGTCCCGTTCCTTGTGGTGCACAGCAGCATGATTGTGTGTGGGACCTGCTAGGCCTGCCAAAGAAGACAGCGGCCACGCCACAATCTAGTGCCACCTTTGATGTTGCACCATTCTGTGAATCTCGTGATGCCTGAGAGAAAACCTTGTCGTGGCCGGTTTGCGTGCAGAGAGTTATCTGACCAGGATCTACCCGGACCCATTCCGGACTCCATCAGCAACCTCAAGGAGCTCACTGCCCTGTACGTCCTCCACAACCTTCTGATCTGCCTGCCGAAAGGCCCTTGGCGTGCGTGCAACCGCCATTTTGCCAGCTCAACAATCTCCAATCCAACCTCTGAATATGACCTCTTTCAATCATGGAGATTCTGAGATTGGAGTCCAACCTTGATGTGCCGCGGGTCCGCGAATTGAGTCGGCAACTCTAACCCAAAACCCCAAAACTTACTACCGAGGGCACTTCTGCATGGTTCGTTTCCCTGCATTCCTGGCTCTTGTTTCTCATTCCAGACAGCTTCGCAATCGTCATACAGGCCAAATTCCCACTTCAATTGGCGCTCTTACAAACCTGCTATACAGTACCTGTAAGGCCCCAGCTTGACGTGCTCTCCTACTTCCGCAGCACAAGCACCACGATGCGAGGCACCTTCCATGCCTTCCAATCGTTGATCGAATGTTACGTTGGCTTAGACAACTCCAACCCTGCTATCTTTGGCTCAATGCAAGCATTGGAGGAACTGTATGGCCTTTTGGGTATCCTATCCTTCTCTCATTTTTCTCTTTTTGCTGCTCTGTTTTTCCTCTCGTTCCACATCCTCTCCGCCTCTTTGCTCGTTTCCTTTCCCCACATCGCACCTCTTATTTGATCCTTGCACCTTTCTTTTCTCCCTCGTTTTGTTCATTACTTGTCTCCGCGTCTACACCCCCCCCCCCCCCCCCCCCCCCCCCCCCCCCCCCCTCTCCCCCCTACCCCCGTCTATCCCCTGCTACAGTCTGCGTCCATTCGAGGGACATCGCGTTGCCATTGTGCTTCAGTAGCATTGTTATGGCTCTTTGCGTACTGTGCATTTGCTTCTTATCTTCTGTTCACTTTCATGCAAACTTCAACTCTCTGAATTCATACATCGCATGCCTCATTCGTGCTCATCATCACAGAGATCTTCAAAAAAATCAATTCACCGGCTCAATCCCGGCTGAAATCAGCGAACTTTCAGGCCTAAGATATCTGTAAGTAGGCATTTCCACGCACTGGCCGGGCCAAGCCGGGCTGACCCGGGCTGACCCAGGCCGGCTCTGAGACCCACCCCGGCCAGTGATCGGGCTTGGATGCCCGTGTTGACTATGGGTGTGCGAGGGAATACATGATGTGTGTGGGCTGATCGCCACAGGAAATGCCAGATGTGCAGATTTTGGTGGGCAAAACGCCAGATCCGCACATTTTGGCAAGCGGAATGCCAGATTTTTTTATCTGCACAGCTCCGGTCGTGCAGGCTGGCGGTTTGTCATGTTGTGCCCTGATGGGCCGTGAGCTGGCCTGGCCCGGCCCCATCTCAGGTCTCTGCCACTCAACCCTGCCTGCTAGTAAGGCCTCTGCTCGAATATGCACTCCTACCTCAGCCTCTCCTCTCCAATCTAACTCCTCCTGCTTACTTATCTCCTTCCCTCTCCACGTAGCTCCCCTCCTTTCTTCTCACCACTCCAGTTTAATTACCACCACCCCTGTCCTTCCTGATACATTGGCCACTTCATGTTTTTAGGGTGCACAGTGCTGGACATGACTCAGGGCAGTAAAATATTTGTCAGGCTAGAAGGACAGCAAGGCTCTGGTCTGGTTGATCCCCTGTTATGCCCATAACGAAGGGAGTGGGTTGCTACATTGGTATCTGTCACATGGCCACACGAGCGCCAAGCTGCAAGCCAGCAGCTATTCGAGTGTTACGTTGTTAAATGTTCCCCTGCCAACGTTTGTACATTGGAGAAAGTGTATGGCAGTTTGTTTATCCTCAATTAATCTCCATTTGACTTCCCTGATTTTGCTCACCATCTCTTCCGTGCTCTCCTCCGCTCCTATGTTCTGTCTTTTAACCTCCGTTCAGCTTCGTTCCCTCCTCGTCTTCTCTTTGTCATTCCATTTGCATTGCTCTTTCCCCGTTTTTTTTTTCTTCCCTCTACGTTTTATTTTTCCTCCATTCCTTCTCCCACCTCTTTCCTTTCGACTGCTTTCAGCTCAAAACCTTTGCATTCTACTTTTCTCTCTCTTTTTCTCACCTTCTTTCTTTCTTTTCATCCTCACACCTTCCTTTCCGTCATTGCCCTCTCCTCCTCCTCCTCCTCCTCCTCCTCCTCCTCCTCCTCCTCCTCCTCCTCCTCCTCTTCTTCTTCCTCCTTTTCCTCCTCCTCCTCCTCCTCCTCCTCCTCCTCCTCCTCCTCCTCCTCCTCCTCCTCCTCCTCCTCCTCCTCCTCCTCCTCCTCCTCCACCTCCTCCTCCTCCTCCTCCTCCTCCTCCTCCTCCTCCTCCTCCTCCTCCTCCTCCTCCTCCTCCTCCTCCTCCTCCTCCTCCTCCTCCTCTTCTTCCTCCTTTTCCTCCTCCTCCTCCTCCTCCTCCTCCTCCTCCTCCTCCTCCTCCTCCTCCTCCTCCTCCTCCTCCTCCTCCTCCTCCTCCTCCTCCTCCTCCTCCTCCTCCTCTACCTCCTACTCCTCCTCCTCCTCCTCCTCCTCCTCCTCCTCCTCCTCCTCCTCCTCCTCCTCCTCCTCCTCCTCCTCCTCCTCCTCCTCCTCCTCCTCCTCCTCCTCAATGCATTCTCCCATGTGCCCCTTTGCTGTGAGTATACAGCAAACCCTTGAGGAGGAAGATAATTCCTGTCTTCTAAATCCTCCTAACCTCATTTCTTCCATGTTATGGCCTATGCATACGGGCAGTATCTATTGTGCTACCAGTTGATGTAGTTTCTACCTATCCACTGTTCATTTCCATGGGACCTTGAACTCTATGCCTTCATCTATCACATGCCTCATTCATGTTCATCATTACAGAAGACTTGATAATAATAATCTCAGTGGCTCAATCCCAGCTGCAATCAGCAATTTTCTGGACCTGCAGTACCTGTAAGGGACCTTCGCTCACTTTTAAGTCGCAACCGTTGCCCATTCTGTGCACTCTTTCACCTCCTTTTGAGTCGACTAAAAAGTCACCTCTGTGCACTCTTTCACCTCCTGTCTGCTCCATTTTCTCCCCACGTTTCTCCCCTTCACGTTTCCATTCCTTTTCTATCTTTCCTTTCTAGTGTTTCTCATTGCTGTGTTGTTGCTCCTCCGCTTTTCCCACCTCTCACCCACTCTTGTCTCGTTTCACAATCATCTTCTTTCCTCTCCCTTCTCCACAGTCATCCTCCTCCCACTCTTCCATGTGACTACTATTTGGTGATATGACAGAGCAGGCAAAGAAATTCTCATCTGCCCCATGCCCTCGTACCCCGTGCCGTGACCCTACTATTTGGTCATATGACAGAGAAGGAAGAGAATCCTCCTACCCTCATCTGTCCCGTGCTATGGCCTATGCACACAGGAGCAATGTCTATCTTGCTACAAATCGATGTAGTTTCTACCTATCCACTGTTCCTTTCCATGGGACCTTGAACTCCATGCCTTCATCTATCACATGCCTCATTCATGTTCATCATTACAGAAGACTTAATAATAATAATCTCAGTGGCTCAATCCCAGCTGCAATCAGCATTTTGCTAACCCTGCAGGGCCTGTAAGGAATCTCCGCTCTCTTTTAAGTTGCAACCGTTGCCCGTTCTGTGCACTCTTTCACCTTCCGTCTCCTCTTCACGGTTCCATCCCAGCAAGATTCACAGGATCCTAGGTCGTGGATTTGTGCCGGGACGGAAATGCCTGCAGACGTTCTTTGTGGGGAAACCTAGTGGCTGGGAGATTCTGGTTTATCCCCTGTTTGCCCAGTCATTGATGGAACATTTATGTCTAGTGCAGAGTTGCATAAGCTAGTCTAGTGCAGGGTCACATAAGCGCCCCAAGCTGCAAGGCAGCTCTCACCTTCCCTTTTCCGTTACTACCACTTTTATACCTACCTCCCTATTGTTTTTCATTCTCTACTTTCACCATCCCTCCTTCCAGTCCATTCAACCCTTTTCGCACCTTCATTCCATCCTCCTACCCTAGACCCTTTTTATCCTTGTCTTCATCCCTCTCCTCTTCTTGTCTATGTGGTCTTCCATTCCCCCACATTCTAGGTGTACATGACTCACTTTGGAACAGAACCTCTCTCCCCACTTCTCCTCCTCTCGTCTACTCCCTCTAATTGTCCGTTCACATCTGAGGGTCGATGTCATCTCGCCGCCTTCATGCTTTCTTGGATGTTGTGTAGTTGTTACTACTACTGTTGCTTCCATACGAGCTCGACCCCCCTGCTTTCATCTATCACGTGCATCATTCGTGCTCAATATTGCAGAGATCTTGGTTACAATCAGCTCACTGGATCGATCCCCACCATAATCGGCAACCTTAAGAACGTGCATACCTTGTAAGGCCTCTGCTTTGTTGTGTACCCCTACCGCCTCCGCTCCTCTCCAATCCTTCTCCTCTTGACTGCTGGGCTTCTAGACCTCTCCTTATAACCCTCCTCACTTTGCGCACTCTCGCCAATCTGGCTACCACCAACCCCTGATTGATTAGACATTTACCTCGTGCTAATAAGGTGTAGTGCGATGGACTGGAGTCAGTGCTATATGGTTATTGCACTCCAGCTAAGATAGTTAGGGGCGCTGACCTCATCTAGGATCATTAGGGGTTCCAACAATATTGGCTTTGTTAATTGAGGTACCCAAGTATTGGAGGCCAAATAAGAATGGGATTGACCTTTTTGAGAACCCAACCCTGACTCGGGTGATTGACCCGTTTTACGCCCCAAATATTCTTCTAGGTTGGCTGTATCTACCCAAGAGTATCCTAGAGTATTATAATTTATAATAGAGTTTGGGATATATATTCTTGCTGGTCTATCACACTCCCATCATACCTTTGTAGCAGTTTCTGGAATTTCGCCTACCGATGTGGCTGCCCTATGTAGTGTTAATTTCCATGCCAGCTCGAACTTTCTGCCTTTATCTTCCGTGGGCCTCATTTGTGCTCAATGCATCACAGATACCTACATTATAATCAGCTCACCGGACCAATTCCCTCTCAAATTGGCGACATGACAAACCTGAGCTGGCTGTAAGGCTTGTCTGCATTGTTTTATTCTGCCTGCAACCTATGCAATCTTTACTTAATCTATTGTCGTCCTTCTCATTCTTTGTATCCATCCCCAATTTATCTTCCCTCTCTAGTGCTTGCGCTCATCTTTTTTCACCATTGCATTGCACTATTACTCCTTCCCTCCTCTCACCCACCGATTTCTATCCCTCTCGGTACCTCTCCTTCCAATCTTCCCAGCGCCCCTCTTTTAAGCGCATGTGACTCTCTTTGGAGCAGGCAACGAATAGTTATGTCCTCATATATCCTATCCCGTATATGTCCACCATGCTGCCCCCTTCCATCACGTTTTGAGACTAACATCTAGCAATGTACTTGCCCCGCAGTTCATTTCAACTGAAACTAAAAGCCTATGCCCTTTATTTATCGCATCCCTTGTTTGTGTGAATCGTCACAGAAATCTTAATGACAATCAGCTCACTGGCTCAATCCCCGCTGCAATCAGTGCCCTTTCGAACCTGGCCACCCTGTAAGGCTTCTGCTTTCTTGTGAAGTCCTTCCTCTTTCTGCTTCTTGGAATATTACTCTCCCCTTCCTGTTCTAGGTAGTCCAATTTCTTCATCGCAAAATTGAGGCATGACATTGTTTGCTGTTCCCCCCTGTTGTTCAACACATTTTCTGTTCCCTTAACGGTTCACCATGTCTCCAACCTTCTCCTCATTTCTGCTCCATTTTGTCCTCGCGTTCCTTTATTTGTTTCCATTTTCCTTCTTGGCTTTCCACAATTCTTATATCTACGTTTGTACTGTAAATCCTCTCCAACGCTCACCTGTCCTGATTCCCAGTCCGTTTTCTCTCGCATGCCTTTGCATTCATTTCCTTTCGTTTTGCCCACTCTCCTCTTCTTTCCTCATTCCTTTCTCCTCTCCACACCTCTCATTTCATCCTTGCTCGTTTCTAATCTCTTCCCTCTCTCCCCCGCTGTTTCGTGCACTCTTCCCTGTGCTCACATTCTACGTGTATATGACTCACCTTGGATTGGAGGATGCAAAGAAAGCCTATATATCCTCGCTTCTCCTTCATCCGTCTGTCCCGTGATATCTCTGCACGAATTTCCCTGAAAGTGTTCATACGGCTGCCTTTGCGAGTGTGTGTGTGTGTGTGTGTGTGTGTGTGTTTCTCCTCCGCTTACGGATGAGGTTGCTCCTATCCACTGTTCGTTTCAATGCGAACCTGTATGTCGTTAATGTATTGCATGCCCTATTCATGCTCATCATCATAGATACCTTAATAACAATCAGCTCACTGGCTCGATCCCCGCTGGAATTGGCAGTCTTACCAATGTGATTATTCTGTAAGGCCTCTGCTTTGTTGTGTAACCATACCTCCTCTCCTCTCCATTGCTCTTATTCTAAATCGATGATGCCGTTGGTGTGCACCTACCCAGCAGGGAAAGAGTACATCTCTCCTTTACTCTCGTACTCCACTCTGTCTCGTGCTATTGATCACGCACGTTCCTTCCTTCCATGGACAGTGCCGATTGTGCTGCCACCATGCTTCTGTAACGTTTTCTGGAATTTCGCCTACCGATGTAGTTGTTCCTTATCCATGGTCCACTTCCTTGCAAACTGGAAGTCTCTGCCCGCATCTATCGCATGTCTCATTTGTAATCGTCATCACAGATATCTGAATCAGAATCAGCTCACTGGGTCGATTCCATCTACAATTGGCAATCTTGAAAGCGTGGATGACCTGTAAGGCCTGTCTGCTTTATACTACGCTGCAACCTCTGCCCCACGTCCACTTTTTCACTTTTTTGTATTCTCGGTTTCCTCCGCTCATCTCGTTGTGCCTTCCTTCTTCTTCGTTAATGATTTCTTCACCTTTTCATGCTGCCACGCTTCCATCATGCCACTGTAGAAAAAATTGGAATTCAATTAGCAATTGGAAATCTTGCAGGACTGGTGATCCTTCGCTCCGTCGTGTGCTGTTCTCCTCTGTTGTGCACTGCAATCTTTGCCCCCCCTCTCTATCTATCCTCCTTTTCTTGACCTCAGCCCTTCATAGTCTATCCCTCCATTCCCTCTTCCCTGCATTTTATGCGTCTCCCATTTCCTCCCCACTCAGTCCCTCAAAAGCCCTCATGCATCTGTGTCTTGTATGGCCTCCTGCTATGGTTGAACATTGGATGGCCTCGGGACTGGCCAGATTAGACCCCGGCCCGATCTGTGCTGTTTCGCAGCCTGATCTGTGCTGTTTCGAATGTTGCAGCCTAAATGCGCTTGCAATACCCTAGATTTAGGCTAGAGAAGTCCTATGTTGGCTAGGAACCGAGCTAGGGTTTGACGGAGGAGTGACACATGAGAGGTCTAAATTTTTAAGCTGAAGGTTGCAATTTTCAACCTTTGCAAATCAGGCGGGATGGGCCGTCAACGGGCCGTGCGTCAACCCATCGTTGGGCCTTTTGGACCACAGGGCCTGTCGTTGCACGGGCCGTACCCCTACCACCACGTTCATCGCATGCCAGAAACACTCATCCACTGCAGACACAATAGTGATAGCACTCTCTGCTGCGGCATCACATAGTTTTCCTGTATCCATATTTGGCACGAATTGGTGAGTATTGGGGATGGGAGGTTGGGGGGAAGGGGGAATTTCTTCTCTATTATCTTGCGCATCAGCTATGCCACTGGGTCAATGCCCGAGCACCTGGCAGGCACTTAGAGTTCAACCAGCTCTCTGGATCCATCCCTGACTCCATCAGCTCCCTCCGTTTTCTAGACCTATTGTAAGTTCATTCTGGTTGGGCTGCACGCGAAGATGGCTGCCGCTGCCAGAGTGTTCTTGGCTGCGTTCGTGGCTCCATCCCTGGGATGACCTCCTCTTGTTGACCTCGCTCTCACTCCTCTTTGCCTTGTGGCCCTCCTCCCCTGTTTTCGCTGGTTTCTGTCAGCTGCCATCTCACCACCCGGTCAATCCCACCTTCCTTGCTTCTAGAGCCTCTCCTCTCTAGGCTCTTTGTCTCGACTGGATATGCAGAAAACGGAAATATTATCCACAGCTCGGCACAGCCACGCTCATGTACCATGAGTTAGCATCCCTGTCTCTACCACTTCCAGTCCCTTGTCATCCTTCTTTCTCCCAAACCCTCACCTCCCTATCTGTGCCCCCATATCTATCCTCCATTTCTTGACCTCCACTCTTCTTTATCCATCCCTCCCTTCCCTCTTCCCTGCATTTTCCTGCCTCCCCATCTCCTCTTTCCCACTCAGCTCCTCAATACCCTCATCCATCTGTGTTTTGTATGGCCTCCCAATATGGTTGAACATTGGACGGGCCCGGGTTGGGTCGGATTAGAACCCGATCCGAGGCCCGAGATTAGAGGACGTGCCGGGGTAGGCCCATCCAGGGGCCTCCCCCTCTCCCCCCCACCCCCTTCCCCCCCACTCCCCCCCCGAATACACACACCCCCCTTCGCCTTGTTCTCGCAGTGATCCGATCTGCGCCAGTCAGTTCGTTTCGAGTGCCAATCCGTGCAATCTGGTGTTTCCCGGCCTGATCTGCGCTGTTTCAAAAGTTGGGGCCTGAATGTGTGTTTTAGGGAAGAAAGGTGTTATGTAGGCTTGGAACCAAGCTAGGGCTTCACCAAAAGACACGTGGGTTCAAAAGTTTCGGCAGCAAGGTTGCAAATTTCGACCTGTGCAACTCAGGTGGCACCGGCCTGTCAAGGCCCGTCGTCGCACAGGCCCTACCCCTTGCCACCACGTGCATCACATGTCCGGAACGCCCATCCAGGGGAGACGCACTCTGTGCTGTGGCATCACATAATTTCTTGTATCCATATTTGGCACGAATAGGTGACTGTATTGGAGAAGGGAGGTGGGGGGCGAGGGGGACTATTCAGCCCTATTATCGTGCGCATCAGCTATGCCACTGAGTCATTCCCTGGAGCCCCTGCCAGGCACTTAGAGTTCAACCAGCTTGCTGGAACCATCCCTCACTCCATCAGCTCCCTGTCTCAGCTAGAAGAGTTGTAAGTTCATTCTGGTTGGGCTGCACGCAAAGATGGCTGCCGCTGCCAGAGTGTTCTTGGCTGCGTTCGTGGCTCCATCCCTGGGATGACCTCCTCTTGTTGACCTCACTCTCGCTCCTCTTTGCCTTGTGGCCCTCCTCCCCTGTTTTCGCTGGTTTCTGTCAGCTGCCAGCTCACGCGGTGAATCCCACCTTCCTTGCTTCTAGAGCCTCTCCTCTCTAGGCACTTTGTTTCGGCCGGATATGCAGAAGACGGAAATATTATCCACAGCTCGGCATAGCCATGCTCATGTACCATGAGTTAGCATCCCTGTCTCTACCACTTCCAGTCCCTTGTCATCCTTCTTTCTCCCAAACCCTCACCTCCCTATCTGTGCCCCCATATCTATCCTCCATTTCTTGACCTCCACTCTTCTTTATCCATCCCTCCCTTCCCTCTTCCCTCCATTCCCTCTTCCCTTCCGTCTGGCAGACGCTACTGCAGGTATGATCGGTGACATTTCCATGCCATGGATACGACGCATTTCCACGCATTTCCACGCAGATTCGTCTGCAAGTCGTCCTTGCATCTGTTATCCACACTATCTTTTCAACTGCCAATTTTGCCATCTGCTTTGCCCAACCCTTTCTATGCACCTGTTTCACATGTATCTTGCTACCAGATTTGCCTCAAGGCAGAGTATTGGTCATTCAAATTGGGCAGGTGCAAGAAGGGCAGGACCAAGCCAGTCTCGCCATCCATGGCGTGTTCAGCCGCTTACCACTTCTATGGTGGAGATACGGGTACAGCAGCTGAAGATTTTTACGACTATAATGGTGAATATTGCTATGGAACCATAGGAGTCGAGGTGATTTGTGTCCCATAATCACTCTACGTGGCTAGCAGGAAATCTGCATATCAATTTGAGATGGGGTTGTAGGTCTTAGAGAAAGGCGCGGGAGAGAAAGGAGGTGGGCAAAGGTAGCTTTGGGTACTGTGTAGGACGGAGGTCATGTCACATGCTGATTTGATAAGACTACCGTATTTAGACTGGGCGAATTCCCATGAAGTAGGATCAGAATCAATAATGTTCCTGATCCTGTCCTTTTACTACGCGCGGATAAACATGTTAGCGTAGAAAGATTAACCAGAATGAGGGAAACATGTACACACCTATCTAGCCTAAACAAATATGTTTGACACACCCCCTAGGCTAGATGACGGGCAGTGCCTAGCACGAGACACACAGCTAAGGGTGGCACTACTACTCCAACATCTGAGGCAAGGGTTCGAAGACCAGTCAGCAAGAGTACAAACTAAACAAGAGTAACCCAGGGTGGCACTACTATTCCAACCATTGGAACAAGCGCCACAAGGCCAATCAATATCATATAAGAGGGAGTATACATCAAGGTCCTGGCAAGTGAGAAGCTACAGGAACTAGACCAAGCTGTGCACAGTGCCGCTGATGATCTTCAGGCGCAAGCGCCCTTGTAAAGATATCAGTTGTGTTGGCACCGGAGGCCAAGTGTACTATGCGGGCTTGGCGGCGCTGCTGTAGCTCGCGCAGGAGGAAGTACCGCAGCTGGATGTGCCTTGCTCTGCCCTCCAATCGAGGCTCCTAACACAAGAGGATCATGGCCCTGTTGTCAGCATACAGGACCGGGGCAGAGCTAGGCCGCTCACCTAAGTCTGTAAGCAAGAAAGTCAGCCAGCGGAGCTCCTGTGCCACCATGGCACCGGCATAGATATCACTCTCACAGCTAGACAGGGCAACAGACGACGAGCGAGTGGACCTCCACGAGATGGCACCTGTTACAGGATTGAATGTGTCGATGAAAAGTTGCACTATCAACCGATACAAGGCGCTTTTATACTTCAAAGGTACATTTGGTATCCAGGTTTATCCTATCCAAAAGAAATAGACCCTTCTAGAAATAGAATCACTCTGCGTATAGCCACGCGAGGCTATTGGCTTTAAGGGATTACGGGAGGATTACGCTAGATATAGAGCGCCAGTACATCCCCAGCCTGGTCGATGATATATTCATGATAAAAGGATAAACCAAAGGATGAGGAATAGGAACCCAAATGAGATGAGGTAAAGAGCAAATGAATGAAGAGAAAAAGGTGAATGAGATAGGGAAGAAAGATGGGAATGAGAATGGAGTGTAACGGGGTCGTGCTCTCACAGCACCTGCACCAAGGCTAAAGCAGTAGCCCTGGGAGGACCTGAGTGTCTCAGCGTCGTCTACCCATGAAGCGTCTGTGTGCCCTGCAAGGACCACTAGCCTGTGTCCTCCTAGCACTAGCCCCATGCCCGATGTTAGATGGTGCAAAACTCTCTTAGCGGCCGACCAGTGTTGTGGTCGGTGTCTGCTTGTGGCCACAAAGCGT